GGGGACGGGGACAACACAAACACCAAGAAGTAAGGCCTGTAGTTAAGAAAAGAAAAAGAAAAAAGCATAACCTGAAAAGCTTGCAGATTTGTTAAAAATCTGAAATATATTATGTATTTTTATTTTATTTTTTCTATACCGTCATTCATTAAAAATCTCATGATGGTTTACAATATGCTGTGCACATTAATGACCCAATGTCACCTTCTTGCATACTGACTAAGGAACCTTCACTGGGTGTACCTGCTGATCAGGACTGAGAGAAGGAAGCTTGTAGTCCAAGAACTAAAAATGCAAATAGGCACATCCTGAAAGGAAAGGAAAGGAGAAAGGAAAGACAGAAGAAATCAAAACTTAAACTAATTCATTACCAATTTAACTGTAATAGCGCGCGCGCGCGCACGCTCGCGCGCTCTCTCTCTCTCTCTCTCTCTCTCTCTCTCTCTCTCTCTCTCTCTCTCTCTCACACACACACACACACACACACACACACACACACACACAGGAAATTATAGGTTGTGGGTAACTGATAATTATATGCTAGATTTTTGTCTGTGAGGAAGAAGGAGCATCTCGCTGAGGTCACAAGATATGTGTGATCCAGCTGGAATGGAAAACTGGCTCTGTTGCTTTACTCCAGTTAGTCTATTTGCTGTCAAGTTACCCTGGTATAAAATGAAATATCCCACCGTAGACCAGAACTCAACCCAATTTGTAGCATTGTGATTTTTCTGAAGTCTATTTTCTGAAGGGGATTTAGCAATAAGAACTGCATGCAAACCTTGATATAATATTTATAGCCAATACTTTAATGATAGTTTATTAGTTTGACTAATACTTGCTGTGTGCCTGTCAGAGAAACAATATAGGTAAGTTAATAGCTTTTTCTCTAAACTACCACAGAATTTTGATGTTAAAGGATACCTTGCAAAACCAAGCCTTTGCCTGGTAAAATGGAAATACAATCAGTTATCAATTTTATAGAAAGCAAGAGCATGGCTACTTGGGCTGCTTCTCTCTCTTTCTTGTATTGCCATTACATTACCCTGCCCTATACCTATTGACTGGCTGTTTCCTCCTGAACTAGGAACAATTTGGTAGCAGCAACCTCAGTCCCAACAGCCCTCTTTGGGTACTTCCATATGGGAGGGGTTCTAGCATTAACAATCCAAATACATTGTTCAGTCATTCCATCTTTGTGCCCTGGATTATGTGCAGCTCACTGACTAAGGGATTCTCGCAGAGAATGTTGGACAAGCAAGACCTTGCTCTGGTGCAAACAGGAGTTTCTTAAGCAAGAGTTGTGTACCGATAAATACAGATCTGTCTACACCTGAATTAATAAGAGGCCCTGCGCTTCCTAAGGGTAACATACATGAGTGAACCAAGGGGATTCTGGTTTTTTAAAAATGGACAATGTAACAGCAAAACTTGTCCTCCAGTGCTATTTAAGAATCCCAGGATTCACAGGCACTGGGTGGACCATTGCCTGGACTCACTGGCCAATCTTCTGCCTAAAAGAGAGCACAGCAGTGATAGATTAATTCATATGGTTGTACCCATGTGTAATATGCACCCATATTACTCAAACCTAGTCACAAATGCAGTTAAATACTTCCAAGTCCTGTTAATTGTAGTGGAAGAGAATTCAGTTTGTCTTTAGCTGTTTCCCACTTCAATCTGGGCCACTTAAATAAGCTTAACCTTGGCTAGGGCCAAACGCTGGAAGATAGAATCACAATTTGGGGAATTTTCAGATATTTTTGCCTTCCCTGGTCCCAGAAAGTACTGCTGCTCATGCTTACATTTAAGAGTATGAAAGGGAAATGTTTGTATGATTTGTGAACAGAAACTAAATTCTTGCCTCCCAGTTCCACAAAAGATTTCCCTGTTCCTGCTGCATCCCCGACCTCTAGTGGCCACACGTCTTCAGGCTCATTACAAGAACTGCTCTTTGGCATTTGCAAAAGGTGCATGCAGATAAATAATAGGAGAGTAATTGGGAGGCTGCATGTGACCATCTATTACTTCTGGGTTTTGCTTTGCTTTGTTTTTAAGTAAAAACAGCTGCTGCTACTTTCAGGGGAACTTAATGGTAGTTTGCATTTTATCTGAGACTGACTGCTTAGGAAAACGCAGGTGGAACAGTCTCTCCCCGCCCCCTACAGACCACATTCCTCAAATTAAAAAGCAGCCTCAACCAGTGTTTAAATGTATTTATTATTTCAATCTATATGGCACTATCATAGCCCTTGATTGGGCTCCCTGTGCCACTTACAACAATTAAAACAACAACATTCTAAAATTAATAATATGAAAAACATTAAAACAAAAAGAATAAAATACTGCTTTTTGCCATTTAATCTTGAATATAACCAAGAAAAGGCATTTGCCAGGAAATTTGCCTTCTCCCATCTGGAGAGTTTTACACAATTGCCACAGCCTACCGTGACTTATTTGAAGCCATGGAGAGTTGTGGCATGTGCCAGGATTGTGAATATTGTGGGTGACTTGTTAACCTTGGCAGTAACCCAGCCTCGCCGTTCCAATAAGCTATGGCAACTGCCTGCCATAGCTTGAATATTTCCAGTGCCTCCAGCATGCATCACAGCCTAAGATAGTTTAAATAAGCCATGATACTCCCCCCCCCAGAAAAAAAGATCATACAAGCCAGACTGCCGATTCTTGAAATAATGCACCTGCAAGGAAGTTTTCACAGGCTGAAATGCAAATAATTTACACAGTTGGGGTCCAACTGTGTTGTGTTGCTTGCAGTAACTGCAGTATTCTATACAGGAACAGCAACCAAAATTTTTTTCATTCTGTCTATCTTAACTTAAAATCAAGGTTAATATTTCCCCCCTGCCCCTCTCCTGCAAATTATACCTATTAGATCTCCCCTGTGTCCCTTTAAGAAAAGCCTATTCTCCACAGTAAGATGTTGGAGGTGTGGTGCTTATTTTGTAGTTTTTAATGCTAATGAACATGGATAGCCCCCTTTTCAACAGAGTTCCTGACACATGTCAGTTTTATCCCAGAAATGAGCTTGAAGTTTGCATATGTATGCTCAATTATTGTTCGTGCCCTTTTGATACCTGCTCAAAGGCTAACACAGACTGTTTATATGAGCATTCTTTGTTGCAAAGACACACGTGGTGCAATACTAGAAGGACAAGTTTCCACCACCATTTATCCAGTGGACCAATGATCTCACCGTATTCATCTAACATGCAGCTGTGGCTGCTTTTATTTTATTTTTTGTCCTTCGTCCCCTACTACAGTCCCTGCCTGGATCAGGAACCCCTCACCTTCAATTTGCATATGGGGAAAAATTCACTCATTGATATGAATGGAAGTATTTTTCGCCCTTCATAAATTGTAGACCCAGCATTAAATCATGGGTGAGCAACATGTGGCTATCCAGATGTTTTAGCCTAGGCCACAATAACTAGGGTTAATGAGTGTTGCAGAGCACAACAACTAGAAGGCCAAAAGTTACTACTGCTTTAAAGCCACACTCCTCTTGCCATTAGTTTCTTGAGTCTAGATAGGTCCCCGGCACTTATTTTCGATTAAAAAGGGGAAATGCAGCTACGTGCCACATGCTGTAAATATGTGGTTGGTGGTCAAAGTGCATATCCAGTAAACAAAAATACACAATAATCCAGCTTATGGTTAGAACAGGGAGGAGGGTCATGGCCCTGCTTCTTCTGCTGCACTTTGCATGGTGGTCATTAAACCAGCAGCTGTATAGGATGTATCTCAGTTGCCATTTTTTTCCTACCAGGATACAAAATTGCTTATTTGCACTGCTGTTCCATGCTACAAGGCTAATTAACTGCACTTCAGAGCTGGCCTAAGGGGTTGCTGCCTGCCACAAGTCTCTACCCAGATATAGTATGAAGTAATCTCATTATTACTCATTATTACTGTGATGCAGTGCTGAATGCAATAGTATGCACTTCATGACCCTCATGGGGGTATTTATTTATTTATTTATTTATTTATTTATTTATTAAAAGCCTTTCCATTCCGTTCATTCAGCAAAGGAACTCTCTGAATGATCTCTGAATGGGTATGAGGACTTCCGTTTATCTTATTCCACTTCCTATCACAAGAGGCTCTTGAAGCGACTTATAGAAGATCACCATAAAATCCCATTCAAATCTAGTACTGGGAACAAAAACAACTTAAGCCAGCTTTTTCCAATCTGGTACCCCCCAGATGTTTTGAACCACAGCTCCCATCAGCCTCAGCCAGTATAGTCAAGGGTCAGGAATGCTAGGGGTTGTAGTTCAAAAAATCTGGAAGGAAGCAGGTTGAGGAAATCTGACTGATAAGCCCTGTTCATGTGTTCTTAGGCTTAATTGCTGTGCCAATTAAGGAGGAAGAAGAAGCCTAGCTTTCTCTCTCATGCACACAAACACACTTTGTCACCTTCCTCATCACCGGCTCCATGATCAGGATAAACCTCTGAAGCAAAGAGCCTCTTACATCCATGGGTGGGGTTCTCTGTGCAATGTAGAACCCTCCATTGGTAGAGGAGTTTGAACACAAGGAGGGTTAGAAGAGAGTGTGTGAAAACCAAATAGGGCCACCATGTCTGTATGGAGCCAGGATTATTCGGGCAGCATTTCCTGGCTCTGGCTTTACCACTCTGGCCATTTTTGGCTGCCACCTACTTAGCATTAGCTCTGCCTGGCATCTCCAAAGAAAGGGATTGGTGTCAGCACCTTGAACTTGCCCAGCAAGTCTTCCCTTGTTGGCAGCTGACTCTTGCTTTACTACAGCAGTGTCATCATACTTGCAGGCCCAAGTGTGAACAACAGGTTAATATTCAGACAGGCCCTTTGTAAGGAGGGATGAGATGCCTGATTTGTAATTGTCTCTCTAGTTCACACTGATTACATTCACTTTACTTCTGGACATTGGTGTGTGTTTTCAGAACCTGTTTGCTAGCCTGTTACCTAGAGAAGGAAATTCTGATTGGGTCTTTACAGGTAAAATAGAGAAGATCAAGCCACCTCCATCCCCAACTGCTGAAGGGCCCCCCTCGCATTCTGACTCAGCATCAGATGAATCTGGAGGAACCCAAAAGCCCAAGAACCTGATGCAGACTCTTATGGAAGATTACGAAAGTCACAAAACCAAGAGGCGGGAGAGGATGGATGAAAGCAGCGTAAGCATATTCCATTTCTCCCATGCCGTTTTTTTGCACGCAGTAGGACTTTTGAATTATGACCTTAATTATTTTTCTAAAATGGTTGTAACTCACTTTTCCAGAATTAGGGCCACAAGGCAATGAGCAAAAAAGAAGGAATGAAGAGAGGTTTACTACTGCTACCAATTCCATGTTCTCTTCTTGAAATGGATCTTTTCAAGTTATGCCCTTTTAAGCAAGGGACTGTCAGACTTGGTCACAATGTCACTGCAGCAGCTGCTAGTTAAACTGTTTGGGATAAGAGAAGAAGGAGAAAAGCAGCTAGAGCTGGAAGTCAGCACTGTGAGGAGCAAGACAAGCTAGAAGGAAGGTAGATTTATTGAACTGGGAAATGGGGCATAGTGGAAGTTTTAACTGCTTTGATGAGGTTGGGAGACATTTAGCTTTCTTATGGGTTGCAGAGATGTTAAATTGACTCTGACTAGTCTTAGAAAAGGAGTTTTATTACAAGGCATTTTGAAGGGAAAAAACAGTTTCCTGCCACTAACACAGCCAACTCATCTGTCAAGAAAAAATTACCATCCCTTAAGCAAGATAAGGCCACAGGATCACATGAGAATTCATTTGGTTTCAGTTTTTATCTGGCTTCCTTTTCAAAGGCTGCAACCTCAACCAGACCTACACTGTGTCCATGACGGACCTTCCCCTGCCCAGCAGAGACAGGCATGGCTGGTTCCCAGAGTTGTGCCTCTTGTTTCCTACAGTTTTGCAGGGTAAAAGGGAATACTTGCAATGTCAGCATGTTGTGATAGAAGCATGAACCAGCATCACAACTTTTGTCCTGATGGCCATTCTCCTGTGATCCATCAAACTTACTTTTTGCAAAATAGCTTATGATTTTTCAGCTTGGGTGTAAAGTGCCATACTTTTGTCCTGTATCTTCAAGCAGAAATTAAAGAGCAATGAAGGTTCTGCTCTTAAGTTTTTTACTTTGTTCTGTCTAACCTGCAGTCACTGGTGATTGTCTGCAGAAAAATGACTTACCATATAAGTGAGAGGACAGTGAATTTTCAGAACAGTGGCAATTAAGGTTGAGTCAAGAATAAAGTCAATACTAGCTTGGCTTCCTTTTAAAGCATTGGGACCTCACAAAATACACTTCTTGTGGAACTTAATTGGAATGCTTTAGCAAAGGTAGATTTTTGAGAAGCAGCTGTGAGTTGGGAACTCAGGTTCCAATGCAAGTGTGTCATTGGGGTGCTTTGTCCCCCTTTGCTCTTCAGTGAGCAATAACAAGCCACCAGCAAGAACAAAAGTCAAACAACTGAATGTTTGTTGAGCATCAAGTGAGTGCAAGACACAGTTGAAGTATTTCTGTAGCCTAAAAGGAAAGAGCTCTTCTTTTCTCTGATTTAAGGATCCAGACAAAGGTCATAATCTTGGGAAGATAGCTAGCTTATTTGTAGTCAATTTATTTGTAACAGAATTCAGTATGTACATCGTTAAATACTTAATGCAGCGGCAATGACAACTCACTTCTGTTCTTGAATTTGCTAGTTTGCTTTTCTAAGCAGTTGAAAAGAAAGTTAAAAGCTGCTCCACCCAATGAACAATGAGACAGATATTAGTCCTTGATTTAGTTGAACTCATTTTTCTCTCTTCTTTTTGCACTAATGATGGTCTTTTCCTTTTCACCAGTACACCTGTAAATTACTGTCTAACAAGGTTACTTCTGAGGTACTTTTCAAGCACTTGCTTTTTGCTTCACTTTTTTCTTTCTTCTTTCCTTTGTGCATGAGGATTTCGAGTGCATGCTGCTGCAGTTTGCTTTCCATTGCTGCTTTGTATAACCGTTGGAGTGATGGTTTGAAAGAGGGAGACCTTCATTTTAAAAAAAAAGTTTGCCAAACTAGACTGTGGGTGAGATCCAGACTTAGTTGAGTAGACCAGTAGGACTTCAGTTAACCATGATTACCTGAAGTCCCAACCACTTCACTGGGCCTACTTTAAATAAAACTAAGCCTGGATCCAACCCCTTTAATGTATATTTTCTTAAGCTGAAAGAAGGAAAGCCAGCAGGTTGCCAGGTATTTCCAACTCAGCCTGTGATGTAGTTGTTCAGAGATGCTATTTTTGACAAGGCCAAAAAAGAAACAGCCCATATTGAAGCAGTTCCAAGATTAAATGGTTATAATGTAGCTTTCAGCCCCATAACTTAAGTGTGTCCATAAACTGTGCAGTAAATTTCCATCTTGTGACTACTATCCAGTAACATATCAAATGTGTCTGCAACTCCACTATAATCATTGTAAGAGTGCGGGAACATGATCACAATCCTACCATAGACATAATGGCAGATACTGGCAACGCTATGTTGGTCATTGCCCAGCTGTTTCCACAACATAATTCTCCTTAAAAGGTTCATCCCTCGTACAGCTTCTCATAGGCATATGCAGCAGCTCATAAGAACAAAGGGAGTGAGTGAGGCCTATCTCCTATGAAGCCCTGCATCATGGCAGCTGGTACATTTCCATTCCCAATAATTGTCAGCAGGAATAACATTTCAGTTCTGAAACGAAAATGTTACATCACTAATTCCTACATTTTTAAGAACTTATTTTGATTGGGTCCATTTCCTCTTATAAGAACTCTGTCTGAAACTTCATTTAGATGCTTGTAATGCTTTTCAACCTTCCTAGAAGAAGAGACGGAACTAACAAATTATTTGGGGGATATTTTAGTATCTGAGGCCATATTGAAATAGATTTTGAAATAGTAAAATGCCCCTTAAAGGCATGTCTGTGGTCACATAGGAGCTCATTTAATTCAGATAGCTTTAATCCATAGCCTTATTCTTATTTTTCCAATGGGATATTTTTTATCCCAGTAAATTAAGAATGGCTGAGATTCACAAGCCCCTTAGCAGCAGAAGTCAATAGATTTCTTGGTGTCTCATGGTCTCTGGCTTTCAGACAGACACCTCAGTATCACACTCCAATCTACCTCCCTGGATTTTTTGTTAGACAAGTTCCACTCCATATTGGCTCAGACCAAAAATATCGCAAAACCAAAGCTTCAGTTGAATTGCAGGTTAACATTTTTTGCCCCAAGTACTGTTCATGTTCAGAGGGAAAATAAAGTAGGAATCAGCTAAACTATTGGAGGGAACAATCCTTGAAAGATTTCATTGTAGTCCCATTTTTGGGTAGATTCTGCAAGTACAAGTATGGCTGTTTCAAAAGTTATCTTGCATCATTAGATGAACTAATTTTAAATGTATAATTGATTTAGCTAAAAATGCAATCTTGGACATTTTACTGGATTTTTTCAGTATATTAATATTTTTAAATATATCTGTGTATAAAGGGGAACATTAAGATATCTCTAAGAGCAATATTGAAGGAATAATGTCCCATTTTCAAATCATTTGTCTGATATTTGACAATCCTTTCAAATTCCAGTGGTACAAGTTATGCAGCTGCCTCATTTATCCTGTTTTCAAACTCTAATATTTTAATAAAGTGCCTCAGATTGTGTGTTCCTTCAGTTAGCTGCTGTCTGAGTTAGGCTCATTCTTAAATGCAAATATTCAGTATTTCCTTTTAGGTGACAAGGCAGAATTGTTACAGAATCTACTGCTCATTCAAAACATGTCATATCCTTAATGAATTTCAACATCTCTTTCCAATGGGTCCAAATTTTGTAGCATTAGCACCAAGCACGAAGAAAGGGAGCATGTTGTTGGAAATAACATGCGGAGTGCGCATTTACTGATGATCTATCCCAGGGCAGTTCTGGAACCTCTGTCCACCGAATGGTCTTTCAGTGCTTTTTTCCCCAGAATGAATGAGAGGCTCTTCATTTCAGCTTGCTGCTAGGTCCTCTTCTCATGTTACTTCTGTGTGTTCATATGAAAACACTGGAGGAAGTCAATATTTGTGAATTCCAATATGAGCAGACCTGTCACCTGTTTTGCATCTCTTGAACCAATGCGCAAATCAGAACATAGTCATTCACAGACTTGTGCACTTTCCAAATGTCCTTGGCTCAAACGCATACCAAAATGTGTTTTAAATAAGCGTTTAAATGTGCATAGGTGGGGTTTTTTTTTATCACAATCCAGTGTGGAAGTGAGGTGGCACAGAATTATAAGTGAACACATGCAAAACTTAGATGGAACAAATATAGACTGATTTGTTCATACACCTGTGTAAAGGAAGGTGCCTGCCTCTGTTCACCTGTAGAAAGTTGTAGTCTGAGCCATTGGCAAGCGAGGGTGCTGAAAAGGTTCTCATGGCATTTAATCCAGCCCACTTTAAACACATCTGTATAAAGAATGTGTGGAACACCCTCATATATCTCACTGTTCTTATTTATTTATTTAAATGGCTTGGATCTGTTTCCTGAAGAAAAGCTTTCGTAGTCAACTTCCATTTCACCTCAGGGTAAAATCTGTGTGCAAATGCTAATTTTATCAAGAACCATTTTGGGATTCTTCTGTTTTCCATTCCTTATGTATTCCATCTGAGGATGAAACCTCAGCTTTGCTGATGCTGTTTCTTCTCTTTTTGCTTCACAGGTGATTGCAGAAGCAATCCTAACTTGGACCTTACTTACTTCATGCCATAGTTTAGAGCAGTGGCCCCCAAACTTTTCTGGGCTGCCGCCCCCTTTCTTCTTGGGCAACAACTCTATTGCCCCCATGCCTCTCTCATGCCTCTTTGGTCTATTGCTCTACTGCTAATTTTAAACAACCAGTCACTGCCCCCGGTAGAATCCATCCTAGGGTTCTGGTGGTCATTTTCTCTCCTGAGGGTACCGGAAAGTAGAGGATGGGAGAATTAATTGTCTATTGTGCATTCCACCAATGTCTCACTTCTGGACCAATAGGCAAGCTAAACGCCTCAAGGAAAGCTTGTGCAAATAATGGTGGGGGTCTGCCCCATGTCGATTTTCAGCATGTTGCAACCCCACATGCTCTGCCACATGCTCACGAGGTGGCACCTGCTCACTTGCGCATAAGATTATTTAGAGCCCCAGCTGTGACCTTGGGGCTAGTTCTTTTTCAGCACTCTGAACACCGAATCCCCAGCTTGGCCTGCTCACAACCAGAGAGGATGAAACAGGTATGCTTTGAGGATGGGGATGGGAGGAGACTGGAGGCCAATGGCTTAGGCCACTTCTTCTCCTTGCCCCAGCCTCATTCCTCTCCCTCCTTGGGGCTTAATCTAGATAGCCTACAATGGCTGTCTAAATAACCTCTGGTGTGAGAGGAAACAGCATTGGAGATCACCACGCTGGATGTACATACTCCTCCAAGGTCAGAGGGTTACATATGTATATACATACTCATATATCTAAGGCAGAGGGCATTGGATTGTGCCCTAAAAGGATGCATTTGTATCTTTCCAGAAGGAAGGAGAAATCTATTCTACATAAGTCAGAACATAAATATGCAGCAGTCATGACTTGGTATATCCCCAAAATGATATTCTTTGAGCCACATCATCCACTATACATCTAAGGCTCTTTAAGGATTGACATATAAATGTTATGTAAGATTGCAACTTTTAAAAACATGCTTATTTGTCTGGTAGCTGTGGATACTGCAGTGCTTGCTTAGGTGTACTCAGACATCCCATTCATGGGAATGGCTGCAACCCAACATTTGTTTTTAATCCTCATATTAAGCACGTATCTTTGCACATTTATTGATTTTAGGTTAGACAGAGAGGTATTGATCGATTCAGATTTACTCAGATCTGAGCAGGGTGGATTTGATTTAAATCATGGTTTTCTACATAATTTGCACACATGTCTGCCTTACTCATAGGTAGGGGAATTTCATTAAGATATTCCCAGACAGGGTCTCTTTTACAGCCTGCTGCCATTATAGGTTTTCTTCTCCAGGGAAAGAATAATATGATGAACCTCAGGCTATACACAAAAAAATCTAAAAGATCTTTTCTTGTGAAATATTCTGCTCAAAAGTTTTCACTTGCCTTTTTACTGCTTGCCCCTCCCTCCTCACACTTAACTTCTTCGGCAGATCTATTCCACTCCCAACAATCTTCTATACATTGAATTTTTTGAAACTTAGCATTTAAGAGGTAAGGCATTGATTCTGTGTACATAGATTTGCATACACAGAATCAATGGGATTAAGGTCTTTTTCTGAACCCTGTATGTTTATTTTATAACATTTTTGCTATGAAGAAGAGGCACATGACCCAAATTCAGTTCAGAGAACTGTAAAACCAAGCATCTGTGATAATATCTTCTTAATAGAAAAAATGCCCAATAACCTTACAGAAACCTCTGGAAAAGCATGACACTGTAAATGGACTAATGGAATTCATTTACCAAAAAAATTTAACCATTGCACAAATATGCAGCTTCATAGTATGTAATTAAGAACTAATCCTTCTTTCATGATGAATAACCTTTGGACTGCAATGTATCTTAAATAGAAAACTATCTTTAGATAACTTTTTCCACTAAATGCATTTTATTTTTTAAAATCTATTTTTTATTTTTAAAATATAATATAATTTTTTTAAAAAATGATTGTTTCAACCTTTTTTTTTAAAGTATTGCTTTTGATTTACCCTGGGTCTGAGTGGAGATTTGAATCTAGCTTGTCTGCAGTCCAGATCTGATTTTACTTTCACTCGTTGTTGTTAGTCACAAAGTCGTGTTCGACCCATCACGATCCCATGGACAACATTCCTCCAGGCCTTCCTGTCCTCCACTATCCCCTGGAGTCCACTTAAGCTCACACCAACTGCTTCAGTGACTCCATCTAGCCACCTCATTCTCTGCCGTCCCCTTCTTCTTTTGCTGTCAATTGTTCCCAGCATTAGGCTCTTCTCCAGTGAGTCCTTCCTTCTCATTAGGTGGCCAAATTATTTGAGTTTCATCTTCAGTATCCGGCCTTCTAAAGAGCAGTTGGGACTGACTGGTTTGATCGCCTTGCAGTCCAAGGGACTCACAGGAGTCTCCTCCAGCACCACAATTCAAAGGCCTCAATTCTTTGGCGTTCAGCCTTCCTTATGGTCCAGCTTTCACAGCCATACATTGCAACTGGGAAAACCATAGCCTTGACTATACACACTTTTGTTGGCAGGGTGATGTCTCTGATTTTTAGTATGCTGTCTAGATTTGCCATAGCTTTCCTCCCCAGGAGCAAGTGCCTTTTAATTTCTTGGCTGCAGTGCCCGTCTGCGATGATCTTGGGCCCAGGAAAATAAAATCTGTCACTACTTCCATTTCTTCCCCATCTATTTGCCAGGAAGTGAGAGGACCGGATGCCATGATCTTAGTTTCCTTAATGTTGAGTTTCAAGCCAACTTTTGCGCTCTCTTCTTTCACCTGCATCAAGAGGCTCTTTAGTTCCTCATCACTTTCTGCCATTAGATTTCACTCACTACACAGGCATTTACTTGGAAAAGAAAGAAGGAAAGAAACTTTCCTGTATTGTACCCATGTTCAGTCTTTCTAGTAAACAAAGGGTGCACTCCTTTTTGACAAAACAGTCTCCTCCAACCCAAACTGGGAATTGCAAGACTTTTTTTGTCTAAACCTGAATAGCAGTATACCCTAAGAGTGGTATTTTAGGTTGATGGTGACCCTGTATAATAGTTCAAGCTGAAAGACAGTGTCTTGGCCAAAACCAACCATAAGACTTCTCTGCAAGAGGTGCTCAACCACTGCTTTAGTGAAACTTCTTCCATGTTCACTAGGGGAGAAAATGTGTCCTAAACCTGGGATTTTTTCTAGGAGGTACATTTCTCTGACTTTATATATTTCCTCTTAACAAACCACAGCCCCAGCATAGCAGGTATGTGGCTTCTTAACAAGACTTTGTTCCATTATGTTGCCATTTCAAATTTAACACCAGACTTTGTGTAAAAGGAACCTGCTAAAAAAAGCAGGAAAATACGGGAGCGGCTCTGGAGAATGATGACATTGTAAAAAGACCCCACAAACTTCTGCAAGTGAGGGATCGCAGGAGCACAATAAATGGATCATGTAGGAAAGCCCTGTAACTGCTTTTAAAGTTATAGGGGATGGGTTGCACACATTTCTATATAACACATATTAAAAATGTAACCTTAAGTTTCTTAAAACATGTGTTTGGCATAACTTTGGCAAAAGTCAGCACTGCCAGGGAGGAGTAAAGGGTTCATAGATACAGGCAGCTTTGCCCATAGGGGGTCGTTATGCACCAGTTGTGCAAAGTTATTGTAATTCAAACCCTGTTTGATCAGGAATGGTAACAAGACAGAAGACATTATAGAATATAGGACATGAAACAGTAGTGCTGACGCTTCCCCTTTAATGAACTTACAGCGCAGTCAAGCACATGTCTACTCAAGACTTAATCCTACTGAATTCAGTGGAGATGACTCCTGATTAAACTGTGAAGAAAGCAACTTAAATTCTCTTTCTGCCTCCAGTTCTTAAGAGCTGTTTCCCTGTAGAATAACCCACAGTAGCAGGGGTGTTATGTCTCAGGGATGCATGAGCCTGTCGCATAACAATAGCTGTACTACCCTTGATTTATTTATGCACCTTGGGGGGCACCAAGCTGCCACTTTCCTTCCCTGCTTTGTTTTAGAAGCCAGCAAGCACCCCCACTATCAGAGCAAAAGGCAACTTGATGGATTTTTTTAAATGCCATAAAGAAAGATGAAGTTGTTTAGATAAGTCAGCCAAGCATGTGCTTATATAATGACAGTGCTCGGCCATTTGTAAAGTGCTCTAAGAACTTGGCCTGCAATAATCCTTTACCCTTTCAACAGCCTTCCCGCACATGGTGCCACTCCCAGTGTTTTAGACTAAGATTCCATCAGCCCCAGTCAGCATGGCCAGTGGTGCAAGATGATAGGAATTGTAGTCCAGGGCACCAACCTGGGGAAGGATGCCTTTTAAAAAAAGACTGACGTAGGCCGGTGGTGTTATCCTCCTATTGCCAGGAAGATAGAGGTGCGGCTGGCACAACACTGTGGCACAACACTAGGGGTTTTTCCTCTATTACTAGTTGAATATGGAATTGCCTGCTTTATGTGGGGCATCGACAAGATGCCATAACCTGCCAAGGATTGTTCCGCTGGTTTGTGCTGTGGGGTGGGGAGGCCGCGTTCCTGGTGGCCAAGGGCACCTTGCCTAGGCCCGGCTGGGCCTTTGCCCCTCGGCAGCCATTTTTTGGGCAGATAGTCTCTCACCCCTTATCAAACCAACGAAGTACATTTTGGCAAAGTTTGTTCTATAAGTAAACATTTGTGGGTCATACTTCCAATCCAAAAGAAACATTTTGTGAATAGTAATCAGAAAATCATGTTTAAATATATAAGTTCTTTAACACTAATTAAGCAGCTGTCCTTTTTAAACTATCTGCTTTTGTAAAAATAAAGGCAATCCAGTTGTGTTGGAAATTCCTCTTCCCCTCCCATAATGGCCATATCGTGCCAGAAGGGTGTAGATAGGGTTTAGTGGGTTGAGCATGCAGAACAAGTGCAAGATTTCCTATGGGTGGAAAGATGATTCCAGTAGGAGCCCTTTTAGAAGCCCTGCAAGCCCAGTTCTCATCTGAAGTATATAGTCTAAACGCTTCATGGTTTTGCTCCCAGTCACATACATTTGTTTCACATTCCACGATCCTTAAAAATGTTGCACATGATTCTTAGGATGAACCACTCGCGTATGGGAAGGATGTGGAGAGACAATTTCTGTGATGCTTAATATGGGGCTTTTTCTTTCCTGTGAGTGAAGGCCGCTACAGATGGCCAGGTTCTGATATTGTTTGTATTTTGCACCGTGTCTTTCATCCAAATACTTCTGTGTTACTCCTTGCATGTGGTGGCTTTTTCATTGCCATGCTTGAATCCAGGCATCACAATTGGACATGTAATAATAATGACCATTTCAGTGATTAGCATTGGACATGTACAAACCAATCACCCTTAGCTGTGCTGACATGTTTGTCCCTGGGAATAGGGCTGCGGAAGGAGGCAAGGTAGGTATGTATGCTCAGCTGGCTCTCTGTGGATGCAAGCTTCTGCTACCCAGGACTCCTTGCTGGGTAACTTTGCAATCTGCCTGCTCTGGAGAAGAGCACCCAAACTATGCTCTCTTCCTTTTCCCACAGGTCCTTGAAGCTACCAGAGTCAACCGCAGAAAGAGCGCCCTAGCACTGCGATGGGAAGCTGGCATTTATGCTAACCGGGAAGAAAATGAATAGTTCTGTTGGCAAAATGGGAGAGTCCTTCCTTCCTTCCTTCCTTCCTTCCTTCCTTCCTTCCTTCCTTCCTTCCTTTTAGCCCCCTTTTCTTTTCTTTCTTCCTTTTTTAAAATTGCAGAGACCAAGAAACCAAATAAGAGAACCAATTTTAAATTTTCAAACAGCAGCAGCAGCATTTTAATCCGATATTTATTACGAATGTACCTGTCTCTGCAATGATATGCTCAAGCAGAAGCAATGCGTATGTAATATACACATACGCACACACACAGAACATTAGACTGAGAAAAGCATCTGCTGTCTCCCCAGAAGCATACCAGAAGCATAAAACTGAAAAGCAGGCAGTATCCTTGGAGCGCTTGTCATCCCCGCTGATAAGAAATAGCCGAGATGATTATCCAAGAGGACGATGAACAGTGTTGCTTTCTTCACACTGTCTCTTCACAGCCTTGCGTCGGGAACAGGAAGAGTTGGCCTGCAGAGTATTTTACCACCAGGTGGCACCTCTTGTAAAAACAAACCATTGTTCAAGCTTTGCCCGAGCTTGGGCAGCAGCTCTCCATCATCCCATAAGTGGTGTTAAGAAGAGGGCTATTACTCTGTTATATCCTAGATAGCCATAATATACCACAATATATATATTTTTTGCTGTTCTTAACAAATAGGGGAAAGATTTTGAAGTCCATTTAACGGATTTAAAAAAAATCACACAACAGAGGCTGTTAATTTGCAAATGTGAATGTATAATCAATATATTTAGCCATAAAATACATTGTATTGTTTTTGATGTTATTTTGAAAGATAGAGTTTGAAGGCAGATTGTTCACCTTTTTCTTAATTTATCATAGGTAGTTTTCTGTTGCAAATTTGCCATTCTTTTTTTTTTTTCATCATCAGTATGCTTTTAATACTGCTGCACAATCTGTAGGTAAAGTAAAATAAGTAGAAAGAAATGCCAAATCAGAATATCTTAGTTCTAGTGGATTGTATGCTTGCGGTATCCATTTGGACTCTTGTTTTTCAGAACATATTTGCATTATCTGTGTTTAATGGTTGCTATGATGATGCAGGAGGAAATATATAATAAAAATATATAAGGAACATTGAAGATGAGTTGGGAAGATAAAGGCAGAATCAGGAGCATTTGAATATTTTTTACTGAGACAACAACTGACCCTCAAGTCAGATTCTTACACAGAGGAATATGAAAGAAAAAATAGTTATATCTTTAACTATATTTATGCTACATTAAAGGTCTTAGTGTTAATAAAGCATGGGGAGGGGGGAATGTTTTTTGTTACCAGGAAATGAAAAGTTGAAGAAAGTAACAGAGATGAGAGAACAAGGGCCAAAGGATTATTTTTGCTGTTTCAACAGTGTTTTCAAAGCTAAATGATAATAGGTTGGAAATTGTTGACAAAGGAATATGATGTGAGTTTGTGTGTGCACGCGTGCGTGTGTACATGTGTGTGTGCGTGCATGTGAAGTTGGAATATTAGGATGGTGAAGAGATGTAGGTGTGAACATATTATTTTCTCCAAAGCTGCTTGCCAGCTCTAGGGGTATACATTTCTCTTTTTTTTAACAAAAAAGGGATATATAAAGGCACTAAACTGATGCAGTATTTGTAATAACAAAGCTGACCAGACCATGGTATTTGCATGAATTAACACTTCAAAAGCTATTGAACAGTTTTATAATCTGACATTTAGAAAAGAAATTTGGTATTTATTCTTGTGCTTTATAGTCTGGCATAGTATTAGAACAGCCTTCTTCAAACCAGAGACCGTCAACTGTGTTGGACTACAATGCCCATCATTTCCTAGGAATGATGGAAGTTGTAGTCCAGTACATCTGGAAGGCACCAGTTTATAGAAGGCTGCATCAGAGTTGCCAGTTTAATTTTTTTTCTGTTCAGTGAATGCAGTAGAATGTTTAGTAATGGAAACCCCAAACTTCTGGATTAGAAGTGGTCATATTTTAGGCAACTGAGGAAAGGTACAGAAAGGTAAAGGATTACTTTTGGCTGGTTTTTTTTAAAGGAGGCGAAACCACGAGTAGTGATCCTCTACAGTTATTATGCACTGATGTTCCAATTTGACAAAGACACTGCGACTTTTAAATATATTTTTTTCAGAAAGCTCTGTGCATATGTAGACTAGCATGATGATTACTACTACCTTGGAGAAGATTCATTCTGAATTGTATGTGGAAAATGAAGTCGAAATATTTGGCTATAAATCGGTGTGCTGCTTGGAGAATGACATCTGTTGTGGCTTCTGATCCCATCCTTCAAGCCTGACTTCCACGGATACACAGAGCTTCTGTTCCCAGAGATAATGGACTGAAAATAAGAGGTCCATGTATGTAAGACAAACTTTCCCCTGCTGTAACAGGCAATAGGAGAGTCCCTTTTACATGCATGGGTTGTATTAGTGAATCACAAGCCAGGGGTTCTATGCAATGTTAGCCCTGCTTAAAGTAAACCCATTAAAATGAACTGTATTTAAATTAGACTAACACTAGATACAAACCCAGCTCTATATCTAGTTGCCATGGCCCAAACACAGGAGATCTTGCAAGCTTTGCATATTTTGGAACCAAAAAAATCCAGCTATACAATTATCAAATATTTTACATGAACGATATCTATATTGATAGCTTACAAACTATTCTGATTATATCTTTTTAAGTATTTGAGGTGCAACCCAGCCTCAGACAAGGACTGTTGTCACACTGATTTCCAGAGCAGTACATGCTTAACCCTCTTCGGTTGGAATCAGTGGGGTTTAAAGTGCTGAATTTTGGCTGGATTGTGTGGTAGCCATTTCCAGAATCTAAAATGCTGCATAGGAAAGAGGAATTCCACTTACAGTCAGACGATAGAATCGGTGTGTGAAGACGAAAAAGTGGGCCACAGATGCTGGAAGGACCAGGGAGTTGGCCCCAGTAAGGAAATTAAGTTCCTGACCTGCAAAAAACCACCCGCACCATTTCCAGTGGGTGATATTTTTTTTTAAGCCTTTAGTAGAGACTTCTTGTACAAGCAAATTGGGGTGAAATTTTTAATTTTTGTTTAAGCAACACCATCCAGAGGACTGTGTTCTTCAAAGGAAGCTTAATATTCTCAGGATTATGAAGAAACAGTGGGATTCCTTGCTGAAAATGTCTTTAAGCCAGTGTGGACAATGTGCATCTGAAAGAGCTAACATGGGCAAGACGGTGAACAAGTTTATTTCATGGCAACTCTTCCAGTGAAATGATGGTTTTCTAGTGGAAAAAATAAAACCAAAGATGATATATTGCTTGGAATTGGATGTTTTCTTCCATTTTCCTAGGTTGTAGTCAACTCAGCATGAAAAAACATGGAGTTGTGAAAGAAATCCCCTTTTTTCCTAAAATCAACAATAAAAAGTGACTTCAAGACTATGTTTCATTTGTCTAAATATATTGTTCTATTCCCTGCCCTCCCCAGGTGGGTCTTTCCCAGCAACAAAAATGTAATCAATGTCTGTCATCCTGGGATGATTTTGCTAAACAGAAAAAGAGGATTGGTTTCTAATGCTCTTTCTCCAACTTCATTTGTGGTGGTGATGGCTTCTTATTATGAACTGCTATCAATGGACAATTATCCTTTCAGGAAATACAGAATGCTGACTGCCATTTTCAGCAATACCAAGCTTAGTACTTTCATAGGATAGCAGTGGACTTCTCTCTCCATTATTTTCTTTTGCCCACCCCACCACTTACACATTGAAGTCTATAAATATATGCCAGTACACTATTTACATGTAATTCTGGCCCTCAACCCTTCCCGTAAAGTCGACCCATCTCACCTCACTCATTGTGTTGGCTTTGTCTTCATACATATGAAAAAATGATATTTCATGCATCAAGTCCTGATATAATTAAACTGTGCATTGACAAATACTTAAGCAGTATAATTTGTGACTGTACCTGAGGTGCTTTTCTTTTTCAAATGGTAGAGCAGTGGCCTCAAAACTCTTTATAAAAGTATTAAGTTGCCAGTTTTAACTACATTTTGCTCCCACTCTGGAAGGATTCATTGCCTAAAACTGCAGTATGGCATTTCCTCTGTTACAATTGACCAATCACTCAGTTGCAAAATACATGGCTTCTTGTGTATGTTAACCACGTCATTGTTGTATTTGCTTCTGTTTATAGTGACTGTGAGGCATACAATACAAGTATATAATTATTTTCTCATTAAAGATTAAACTTGTCTTGTCTTTCTTAACTAAAAAGGGGTGTGGGAAGTCATCGAGTTTGCTGTGTTCTTTCTATCCAGTTGCTTAGTATGGCCAAAGCAAATGCCCCAAGAATGAAGAAACTGGCCATCTTTGAGCTTTTTGATTTCTGCAGTATTAAATACTGAGAATCCGCCTAGAAAGACAACATCATGACATCCTTAGGGGTGAGTGAAATTTCAGCTTTCTAAAAAGTCTGGCCCAGCTAGACCCCTCATGCTGTAACTAGGGCTGGCTTTTCATCCTGAGAGGAAGCACAAAGAATGAAACCACAAATGTGTGTGATGCCTCCTTTTCGCATTGCCTTGAAATGGGCACCACATACTGCTTGGTTGAGCAATTAGCACTCTGTTCCTGCATGAGATATTCTTCTGTTCACCCACAGATGAAGGCACATGCCAATTAAAGTTAATTATGTGTTGACTGTTGAAAGCAATGGGATGTGTTAGCTAGGAATAACTTTTGACTGAACCAAGACTGCATTCTAAGCACTTTTACTTGGGAGTAAACCTATTAAGTTCTGTGGGATTTGTTAGTCATGTATGTAAATAGCTACTTTGCACATTGGCCAAGGAACATGGGAGCAGAAAACAACTTGCGTTTCCTCTTTCATCAATTGGATGTGACCCGGAAGCATAATTGGATGCGAGTTTCGAAGACAAAGGTTTGAATTTGTCATTCAAGTAAAAGGTAGTATACAAAAATAATATTCCCATCAGGGCAGCATCATTTCTGATGGCACATGAACTAACGAGTTGGCAAAGTGGAAGATAAAAACTTCCTAATGGAACTTTAGTAGGGGAAAGAGAGACATAGCAGAATCGCTGACTGCAAATCTGTGTCCTGTAATGTTGTTAACGTGTGCAGCATTTAATTCAGCCCACAGTAGTGGGAGACTGTACAGTTAGACCCCAGAGCATCAAGGGGCAGATGCTGAGTAGAACAGCAAGTCCCAACCTGGGGGGGGGGGGGAGGACGAAGCACAGCAACAGTGTAGCTGCACAGTGGAGAGGCAGACATTTTTCCCTCCCTGTCATAATACCAAGCCCTGAAGTCATCTCATGAAGCTGACTGGCAGAAGATTCACGAGAAATTAAAAGGAAGCCCATCATACAGCACACAGTTGGAATATGGAACGTGCTTCCATGAGATGTAGTTATGGCCACCAATTTGGAGGATTTTCAAAGAGGACTGGATGCATTCATGAAGGTGAAAGCAACCCATGACCACCAACCCTGACTGGCTCCATGCTTCTTTCCAGCATCAGAGGCAGCACACCTGTGCACAGCTGTTCTTGGGGAACATGTGTGAGTGTGCGAGGGAGCACTGTTGAACTCTCGTCCTGCATGTGGGATCCTGCGGATGCCTGGTTGGCCACAGTGAACAGGATGCTGGACCGGATGGACCCTGGATCTGATGTGGTTCTCTTCAGTGCTATGAGAAAGTTGCTATCATGCACTAAGGGTTACCCCCCCCTTTTTTTTTTACATTACCAATTTGCAATAGATTGTCAAGGATTTCGAACTCCCACTTACGTAACTGTAGCAGCAACAAAATAATACCATGTGCCCTAAATTGTACTGCAGAAATGAAAAAGATGGTTGAACCAGCAGCAGATTACGGTGTGGAAGGACTGTGAACTCCATTTGAGCTGTTGCTCAAAGCAAGTTCCAGGCCTCCATCATTCTTTCCGTGTGTTTTGCACTGGGCTTTGCTAGATCGTGATGTTCCAGTAAAAGCAAAGTACCTCTCTCAGGCCCTGCTCTAAAATGCAACTTTTTTGGCTATAAGGGCAAGGTGTACCTCCAATTCTTATATGTGGGGATGATGGGAGAGTATCAGATATCAAAAGTTTGGGAAATGCTGGGAGTATTTTTTAATCTTTCTGCAACAGTTGAAAATGTCATTGGAAGGGATTGTAGGCTTGGAGGAAAGCATAGCTAATGAACATGTGATGTTTCAGCAGTCGTGTTTCCTCAGGGGGAGGGATCATAATTCATAGGAAATCTGGAGAAACACATGCAGCTCAGCTACTATATTCTGTATCTTAAATTATACAATGTGGAGCTCTTAGAAGCATTCAGTGTATTCTGTGTATTTTCCTTAACATTCTACCCAGTTATGCCAACTTGTGGTCAAGATTTGGCCCTCTAGCTGTTGTGGCTTAAAATTAGCCAGAACAACCAATAGTGAGGGATGAGAGTTGTCGGCCCAAATATCTGGATGGCCACAAATAATCCATCCTTGTTCAAAATATTCTTTTCCAAAATTTTCTGGGGAGCACACTGTGCCATAGAAACAGCAGGTGTTTCAAGGCTGCCCATCTCCTTCCCAAATGGACATCTTTGTTCTAGGGTAGCCATCCCCAGTCTGGTAGCTGGGGCCTTGTTGAGAGCTGTGATGCAACAAGTCTGGAAGGTACCAGGTTACAAAGTTGTTCTAGGCCTGCCCCTTATGAGGAGAATCCTAAGGCAGCTACTTAGAATTTGCAAATTTGTCTCTTGCTTTTCTTGCATTTTGGTTTGCACAGTAGATTTCCAAGTAAAAGATGAACTCCTGAGAGTCATTCAGGCACCTCAAGTTAGCTCCAGAAATCAAACAGCAAATAGGTTTGCTGTACGCACACCAATGTTTCCTGCAGGAACCATGTAAATGGCAGCTGACATACATTATTGTTGAACACACCCTTTAACAATTGGGGTTCCTAGAAATGTGCACATGCAAATATGCTGATATTCCCCACATTTTGATGTGTGCATTGTGCATTGAAGTAAATGTGGGCAGCTTACCCACAGAATCCTGAAAACTTGTGCCTAGCTGGTCCAAAAAGAAAGCATAGCAAATTAGGCTTGTAAGACAGCCCCTGATGGAAAAAAAAGTCTGCAATCTGACATTTTCTGATGGCATTGCCCTGCCACACTGCAATTCCAGCTTCTCCCCTACCTAAGAAATGGCAAGAAACTTCCAATCTTATTGCTAAGGGATGTTTAATATGGATATACACAGACATAGATAAGCTTCTGGAGATAATAGTGATTATAAATCAATTGATGTGGAGGCCACTGGGCCAGGGAAGGCTGGAGTAGATGATGGGGAATGGATGTGTCTGACCTGATAAGAAGTAGCATCTCATATTCCTAACAGGAGTATTACAAATGCATATGAATGTTGCTTCTTTTCATCTGTGATAGCTTGTTTGACCTCATTCTCTCGCTTACCAGCCGTGTATTGCTGTTCCTGGTATCACTCCTCCCAGATGAACAGTTATCAGTCAGTCCCTTGTTTCTGTTGAGCTTTTCTCATCCTTGTGGTATGCTGGAACTCATTGCAGGTGATCCTTATCTTGACTTGGTTTGGTAATTGCTTGTCTACAGATACAGGTCAAAGGTTTGCTAGCCTAACTCTTTGTCCAGGTCGCACGCTGAAGTTCAGCTGGAACCAGAGTCGGCCTGACTGGGGGAAGAGGTTGCAGAGTTTGTTCATCGTGTAGTTTGAGGGTCCCCGCATCCCATCTCACGTGCACACGCACTCGTAGTCCATGGTTGACCAAGCCATGCTTTCTAATGTTTTATGGAAAGAGGATAGAGGGGTGCTTGTAGGTGCTGTAGGTACTGAGACCAAAATCTGATCCTCAGGCTAGGTCCAAGATATTGATCCCAGAAAGAAAGAAGCCATGGCTTTTTAATGAGACAGCTTCTCTTGGAGGGGACCGACAGGATCAAAATGCAGCTTACTCAGCACTGCACAGGGCAAAAGGGCTTGCAATGCCAGCTCGTGACTAAGGAGCCGTGCATGCGTGCTGGGGAGGTTTTTAGCAAAGACACCCTGTGCTGCACCTCCCTGCATTCAGTCCAAATCTACTCTTTGATTTGGATCCAGGCTTACTCATGAGCCACTGAAATCAACGCAACAAAGCATGACTGGCTTCCTATTTGCCCAAAAAAGTTAAATTATAAGAATGACAAACCTAAGTCCAGATAAAGCTTTATGAATTACTAATTATAACCGAAGGACAGTTTTCAGCTGGGGTGGAGGCAGGGGAGGGGAGGGGAGAACGCTTGATTCTCTGATCGCATGCCTGTCATTTCCACTGCAAAGTGGGGCAGGGAGCTCATTTTGTCCTTCACTGTGAGACTCCGTGGGAGGCTTTTTTTTTCCTGGGACAACTGTCTTTGTGTTCAGGGTATGACAAATGTAAATATATACAGAGATGCACACACCACTTGACAAGCTGTTTCATACCCTTGTCATTCTTCCCTGTCACCATTTCCCTTACTCTCCCTTCTCACTCGACTGTTTGCCCTACTCGGGGTTGGTTTGGGAAACGCCGTTGTGTGAGATGAGGGAGAGCTGGCCGGGAGGAAACACTGCTGCAGCAAGAGCATACGAGTGCGCACTCTCTTGCCAGATCTTTGTTGCCACCGTCCGCAGCCGCTGTGTTTACAAGCAGCCTCATGGCTGTGTATGCAGAACCCAGGAGCAGCCATCCAAGAGGAATAAATCCCTTGGCAACTGACTCCACATTGCAAAACAAGGTGACCAGACTACTTTTACTTCCTAAAACGAGACTGAGAATTTCAGAAACAGGGCCATGTGACTCCTTAAAGTCACACTGGGAGGAGCGGGCGGCGTCCTCCCAAGCACATAAGCATAATCTAAGCATGAGAGGAGAAACAGGGAGAGAGTCAGGGGGAGAGGCAACAAAACTTTGCTTATTTAAGGAGGCAGAGATATGTTTTGAAAAGCAGAGTCTGTCCCAGGCAGCACCATTTAATGCAGTGAGTTGTGCTTTTGTGGACAAGCTCAGAAAGCCTGGATTTGGTTCCCAGTCTCCCTTTCTTCTGTCCTTCCCAAAAGGATTAACAATCTCTAACTCTCAGCTAAAATGCTGAGCATGATGGAAATGAGGACCTGGATTGAGCCTGTTGTTGCTGGGGCGCAGCTTGCCAGCGCTTTCTATGATACGGGGCTGCTGATGGAGGTCAAGAATTACTACAACCAGACCAATTCCTCTTCCCTCACCTACAGTGAGGCTGAGCAGCAGAAAGCCATCTCCAACTTCTACATCATCTACAAACTCATTGACAGCCTGACTCCGCTGCTGACTGCTTACAGCCTGGGTCGGCTGGGTGATTCCAAGAGCCGGAAGATCTCCCTCTGTGTACCCCTGGGGGGCTACCTGATCTCTCGGATGCTTCTGCTCTTTTTGATCCTTTTCTCATGGCCAATTGAGGTGATGTACGGGGCTGCTGCCTGGCATGGGCTAGCAGGAGGGTTCGCTACCTACTGGGCCAGCGTCATGGCCGTGGGATCCCAGGGCTCCTTGGAGAGCAGGAGAACATTACGCCTCATCATTATTGAGCTTGTCTATGGCATCGCCGGCTTTGTGGGGAGCATTGCGTCCGGCCATCTCTTTGTCAATTTCCACCTCAAGTATCGGCAAGGCACAGTGTTGGTTGCTTGCAGCGTTGGTTTATATGCTTTTTGTCTCCTCTACAGCATGCTTGTTCTCCGAGTTCCCAAGCCTGAAGGTTCTTGCCTAGCTGCTTCCATGGTCACGGACCATCCTGAGAACAAGCTGGATGAAGATGACAGAAATTCTGTCTTCCATGAAACAGAAAGTCTTCCTCCAGTGGTTCCTTCCAAGCTCATCCTTGCCATGCTCTTTCTAGGGGCCGTCATGTATGACTTAGCTGTAGTAGGAGCTATGGATGTGCTACCACTCTTTCTGCTCAAAGAACCTCTGAGCTGGGGACCAGAATATATTGGCTATGCCAACGCTGCTGGCTATACCATCTTCATCACCAGTTTCCTTGGAGTCTTAGTGTTCTCCAAATGTTTAAGAGACACCACCATGATCATGATGGGGATTGTGTCCTTCTCAGCCGGGATTCTCATCATGGCCTTTGTGCGTCAAACATATTTGTTTTACATTGGTGAGTTGGAGCTCTTCCATACCTTTTACTCAAGGCTATCTAGGTTTTGTATGTACATCTTTTTTTAAAATTGGTACCTGGACAGCAGGCTGGGTGGGCACATGGGTGACCTGGTCATAACCTTCCCTGCTAGAGTTCAATCTAGCACATTTCTGTTTAAATGACATTTTCTGGGTGTATCCTATGGTTTTGCTGTCATCCTCTGATCCTATTGCACAAGTAGGGCCCAACACTTGCAAAACCGGGATTTAGCAAGCCCCCGCACAAGTGGACATGATTGTTTCTGCAGCCAGCACTGGTCAGTGGAACTCCATTAAGTGACCTGCTAAGCTGCCCCATTCCAGGCATGGGTGTTTCTGCTTGCTTCCAAGTGCCTATGAGAAACGCTAAATCCTTCTTTCTGTCCTCTCTGAGAGAACCGGGCATGGTCAGCCTTGAGAAGGGAAGACTGAGGGGGGACGTGGCATCCCTCTGTAAGTACCTCAAAGACTGTCAAAAAGAGGAAGGTCAAGATCTCTTCTTGCTGATACCAGAGTGGAGGAGATGGGATAATCAACTTGACAACCCAGATTCAGGCTAAACATCAGGAAACGTTTCCTCACTGTTAGAGCAATATGGCAGTGGAACCAGCTGCCTAGAGAAGTGGTGGGCTCTCCCACACTGGAGACATTAAAAAAGAAACTGGCCAGCCATCCGAGTGTGGTGGTGTAACTTGGTGTCCTGCAACAGCAGGGGGCTGGACTCCATGGCCTTCATGGTCCCTTCCAACTCTACTATTCTATGATTATAATTGCTGGGTCTTGCTCCAGCAATAACAGGCAATTCCTTTTCTTTCTAAATTTGCATATACATTTGCGCCTGTAGATGTTGTATAGATCACTCTCTTTTGTGGATGCATTTCCTCTTTTTTACATCTAAACGTGTGTGCACCATGTACACAAGCATAATTAAAGGGGAAAAAAAGACATTATACTCCTTGGTGGAGAATTGGTTTCAGTTCTATGAACCTGAGCACAAGCTTAGTTAACCGATTAATTTGCTAATGTACATTTGATTAGGATTAGTAAGCCCTGTAGAACCCCGTGGCACTTATTTCTGGGAAGTGCTACTGCATGTTGTCTTCAGTCAGGCCTTTGCTTTAACACTTTGCCAGCAAACAACCTGTAACCCTACAGTGAGACCCTTTTTCCATATGACACACTAATCTACAGATTTTAATCAAGCAAAACTGCACCAGGACAAGGTAAGCTGGCTTTGAGAAAGCTACGGTTTGCATTGAGCAACAATTTTAGGGAAAGTATTAACAGGTTCACGCTTATATAACAGTTCTCACAACACCTGTGTAAGTGCAGTTTGCTATTGCTGTGCAGTAAACAAGTTAGTATCAGCTACAGCCACATGGCGAGCTCTTCAGTGACAGGAAAAGCAAAGACATTCCCTCCCGTGGATCCCCGTGCTGGCCACTGGGCTCCCATCAACAAAAAGTCATAGCGAGTCAATATGTTAATCTTTAAGGCTGTTTTTCTCGAGCTAGTTCCCTCTACAATGCCCATCGTTCTCAGCCATCATGGCCACTGTCAGACAACAACTCCCATCATGCTCAACCAGTGTGACCATTGGCCATACCAACAGGCAATGATGGGATATGCTATCCAGCACATCACTAGGAAACCAGTTTGCCAAGTGCTACTGAATGGTGTCAAAACACTCCCTGCTATATTACTAGCTCTCTTAAAAGAAAAACAGCCACTGGGCACCTTTTACTCAATTAAATTATTTAAATTAATTAAATTAAAATTAATTTATTATGAAAAGAAGGCCACATAGGAGGTACAAAGCCAACAACAACCACAACAATGGGTATGTCATTCATCTGGCACATCTTATATTCTTTATTTGTAATTATTGTTTTATAATGTATTTTAATCTCTTTTTTAGTTTATTTTGTATTTTATTTTGTATTTAATTGCTGTAACCTGTCCAGGGAGCCATATGGCTAATGTGGCGGGTTAGAAACATAATAAATAAACCAATTTAATAAATAAACCAGTTTAATAAATAAGCTTAATGAAAATAGGCCACCTACCTAGAGGCAATACGGAACAGAAAGTGACTCAGACTACTTCCTGGTATGACAAGCCAGGAGGGCCAGTACACTTGATTAAATGATTGCTCAATCTAGCCCTACTTAAAACTAATTTTAAAAATAACAGCATGGGTTGAACAGAACAGGCTCCTGCAAAGAAGCATGTCCATCATGCAACAACGCTGTGGCAAAGCAATTGCTTTATCCAATCAAATGGAGTGAAACCGGTAAAAAATGTGGGAGAATTTTTTCAGCTCAGCTGTAGTCATGACATTGCAACTGATCTCACCTCAAACATGGTCTTTTCAGTAGCACCAAGCCACACATCTGGCCGAGGCTCATTAAATAGGATGGTGTAACTTGGTGTCCTGCAACAACAGGGGGTCGGGGCCAAAGGCTTTCTTGGCCCCACCCAACTCTATATTCCATGATTCCCTGAAGAGCTCTGCACGTGTGAATCCGCCATCAGCTTGCCACACATCTTGTCCCATGAGCCTGGGAAGCTGAGCACAAAGCGTTCCGCTCCCCTCTAACCTACACCTTGCTTTGCAAACAGTGGTGCTGCTCCCACCAAAGAAGAGACACCAGCCCTCCTCAAACCACCTCTGTGTGCCAGGACTGGCATTTCTGCTGTTGCTTTTCTTACATTTAAACCCTGCCTTCCTATGAAATCATTGCAGTGGTTCACAGTTGCGGTGTCCTGGTGGAGAGGGAGCTGTGTGGATTTGTTCCCTTTCAGCCTGGGTAGGAAGGACAAATCAGTATCATTACACCTGCAGGAAGATGCTTGGAGCAACTTGCCTTCCTTTAGTACATGGATGGGGAATGTGTGACCTTCCAGATCATAGAATCATAGAATAGTAGAGTTGGAAGGGACCATGAAGGCCATCGAGTCCAACCCCCTGCTGTTGCAGGACACCACATTACACCATCCCACTCAGATGGCTGTCCAGGTTCTTTTTGAATGTTTCTAGTGTGGGAGAGCCCACCAACTCTCTGGGCAGCTGGTTCCACTGTTGCATTGCTCTGACAGTGAGGAAGCTTTTCCTGATATCCAGCCTGAATCTGGGTTGTCGCAACTTGAGTTGATTATTCTGTGTCCTGCACTCTGGCGTGAGCAAGAAGAGATCTTGACCTTCCTCTTTGTGACAGCCTTCGAGGTACTTGTAAAGGGATATCATGTTGCAGAACCGTTTTAGTTTGTGCTGGCACTGAAACATGAATTGGGGCTTCTCAGCTTCTGTTTCAGGCATGCTGGGCCCAAGGGCCACGCTCCATTTTGAAGACGCTCCCTGGGACAAAAAGGGGGCAGAACCAGCAGCAAAAATGGTGGGCCAAAACAGCAAAACGTCCAGCTTATTTTTGCTTAAGGCTGACTTCCAGCATCTCAGGCAGAGGAGAGGCATTTTGACCATTTAGAGAGGGAGCTGGGAGGAATGTGCCATAGCTGGGGAACTGCTCCGTGGTCAGAGGGGAGGGATGGAGCCAGTAGGACACATGGCCACTGGGGAACCCTAGAAGGCCGGACTAAGACGCCAGGCAAGCCAAGTGTGGTCTGTGCGTCTGAAGTTCAACAGCCACCTTGCTTCAGCTAAGATGCTGCGTTGGAAGCTTGCACTGGTGCTTAACGTAAGCTCTCCGTCCCCTTCTCTTCTCTTCCAGCTCGTGCAGTGATGCTGTTTGCCCTTATTCCCATGCCAACCATCAGATCTTTGTTATCCAAACATGTAGGAGAATCATCCTATGGTAAGGAGCTAGTTTGAGGAGCTCAGTGTTCTTTAAGCACCCCCCCCAAAAAAAGTTGCTTGCTTTAAGGACGAGTTGCACTTCCTTGAGGGGGTGGGGGGGCATTTTTTGGAAGGCTGAGCAAATGCTGTGGGTGCTTTCACTAAAAGGACTGCCATGAGGGTGTGGGGGGAGCTTGCCTATTCACAAAATTGTAGAGGCGGCAAACTGCTGAGGCTGAGAGACATGAGGCTCAGGGGCTTTCTTGGGAATCAAAAGGGTGCCTGGAAGGGGAAATCCCACTTCCAGAGTCCACACTGGTTGCCTGAGGGTGCCAGTTTCTGACAGTGGGGAGACCTCCTGAAGGCATATGGTTGGCCAGTATTGGGAGTAGGACGCTGGGCTAAGTCCCCTAATCTAGCAGGAATTTTCTTATGTGCAGAAGAATAGGTAGGTTAATCTGAGTGAAATAATTATTATTCCTGGCACTTGTGCTGGGCAGAAGATGTTGAGAAGAGCCAGGACCTGCCTAGGCCAGCCTGCTTTCATACAAATGCCAGCCTGTGGGAAGCTGCCATGAGCAGTTCCCTCTGGTCCCAAAAACTCAAAACAGTGTTTTCAAAAGCGGTTCTTTTATTGTGGTTCCACAGATAAAGGAACAGTTCGCACTCTAAACAATCTTTGACCAAAGCTGAAAAAGTGAAGCCTCTGTTCATGTAAAGAGTTGAGTCCAAACTGGACGCTTTCCTTCCAGCCCTCCCTTTCAGTAATGCTTCTGGCCCCACCCTCAGGCTGGCTCGCCACCTCCATCTTGCATGAGGGCAAGATGGTGCACACAGCAAAGCCCCTCCAGTCAAGCGACTTGTTTCTTCTGCGTCCCCCACGCTGGGTCAGGGACTGGGTCTCACCCTGCTCCCCCTCCCCTCCTGAAAGCCCTTCCTGCCCTTCCAAAGCAGGCTGATTCCCTTCAGACGATGGAATGATTATTCCTGAGGAACCTTCCTGCATCTAGTTTTATGAGCAATTTTTGTAGGAAGTCCCTTGGTAACTTTTTCTTTTTCTCATTCTATGTTTCTCTTGCTCTCTTTTCTTTATCAATAAACAAAGCAAAAAACAAATCAAAACAAAACAGGGCTGATTCTCATGCTTGTCCTGAGAAACTTAAAGAAAAGTGAAAGACACGTCAAAGGCTTCCCCCACCCCACCGCTTGTTCAGAATACAGCGTCTCTCTGAACAATCTGCCACGTGGGAGAGACTTCCCCCACTCTTGGGGCCATTCTTGGGTTGAGTTGGGCTGGGCTGGGTTCCCCAGCAACTGGCGTGCAGAGGTGCCCTTTGTCAAGCACTGCAGATAACGCTTAGCCATTATGACCAGTAGCCAGTGATGGCGCGAACGTTCCAGAGGAAACTGTTGTTTTTACTGCAAGGATCATGTTATTCCTAAACCCAAAGGTGTTGCATTCAGTTCCCGCACCTGGATATTTCCTCTGCAAATTCAGCACCATCACTGCCTGACTCCTCGTGGGAAATAGAGCACTTCTTTCAGTATGCAGGTTTCCAGAACTGAACTGTGCTTGGTTGGCCCATTAACAGTGAGACAATGTTTGGGTCGCAAAAACCACACACTCTCAAAGCTGTTCAAGAAGTTGTTTCAGAGCTGAACATAAATACACACACAAACATTTTAATTTAACTTCTCTCCTAAATTCTGAATTCTGCCTCTCTCTCTATGTAACTGAGATGCAAAAGAGAGGGGAGATAAAGGCCCCAAATTATTTTGAGCACTTTCACCTTGGTCATTTGAGAAGAACAAAAACAGCAAGATAGCAGATTGTTCTTCCAAGTAATCCTGAATGCTCCGTATTGTGTTTTGCTTCCATTCCGGTTTCTAGGAAAGGTGTTTGTTCTGCTGCAGCTGTCGCTGGTGCTCACAGGTGCTGTGACATCGACAATCTATAATAAAATCTATCAGGGAACGCTTGACTGGTTCAGCGGGTTGTGCTTTCTGCTGTCGTGCAGCGTAGGCTGCCTAAGTATCATTCCCATCAGGTAAGTCAAACAAAAGGTCAACTGCTTCTTTCCAGACATTGTCCTGCCAGGTGGGGACTGCTTTTTCTCCACAAAAGAGCACAGCTTTTCACCTCCAATTCCATTCCAAGGTGCTGCACTGGTCTGCTCAGTTTTAGTCATAGCATTTAGGTATTTTATCATTATTTTTCACCTGTTGTTTTTGTAAGCTGCTTCAAAGAATTCTGCTTTAAAAGAAGATGAAATCAAAAGCTGGCCTATTTTAGTGGTTAGAGTTTTTTGGGCTGGGACTAGGAGAGCTGGCTTTACTTGACCTTCTGGCACAACACTCACGGGGGAAATTAGCACTGCACTGTTATGCTAGCAGGACACCTTTTCCATGAGCAGCTCAATAGAAACAGTGCTGCTCACTGCAGTGAGAGAGACCATGGCTGGGAAATCCGTGTGTCTGCTCAACCTGCCAAATGCTGCTGATGGGCAACCTCAAGACCATGGCTTCTCTCCCACCTTTAAACCAGATGTGGGTCAGACCGTTATCCAGGCAGAGGGTGCCTTCAAAGCGAGGACTGTACTTTGTAAAAGAGGGCACATGGCCATGCAGGGGTGGAGCACAAAAACAACCCAAGAGGGGCAGGTCTACTCAGTGGCTGCAGAAAGATAGCAGGGAGACAGGACAACAAAAATGAGAGGAAAAGTGAAAGGCATGGAGTATCCTCAAAGTGGGTTAAGACCTTCTACACTATGAAGTTTCTTTGCAGGGTCTTTATTACTTTCTCTTTGTTTTATGAGCCACCCTTTGTTCTGCTAGCTCTATTTATGTCAAAAAGTGTGTCAGCTTTGATTTCCAAGTGAGAGAGTTTGAAATGGAGAAGACGAATGCCTGTGAAAATGGCTGGTGGAACCACTGGCACAAATGGTGAACTGTGCATTCATTCACTCAATCTTTCTTCTCCCCACTGCAGCATCATAGCATATAAGCAGCGAGTATCATCCGGTTCGCAGGAGATTTTAACTGAATGAGAGCAGAAAGGGGCTGTCCTTTTTTCAGAAGCAGACGCATGGAATGGAAGCAATTCCACCATCCAGTGGCTCGATGGATCAGCTTGATGGATCAGAGGTCACTTCAGTGTTGAGGCTGTACTGCGAGAGATGCTGAACTTTTAGGAATTATCCTTACCATTGACAGGAGTTAAAAGGGAGAGGTGCCCAGACAACACGTGAGATTAGTATTTACAAGGAGCGGTTGCCAGTGCCTGCTCAAGTTTGCAGCCACTAGGTGGAAAACATAGGACGAAAAGAAAAGAAAACCGGCAAAACCTGTTTGCTCAATGGCAGCAGTGGAACAAAAGAGATGTACATACTACAGGAAGTATTTTCCAAACATTTCCAGCAGTCTAAGCCAGAGCCTACACACAAATCCTAAACTGAATCAACATCTTCACAAGTTCAACCCCCTCACAGAATGGCAGCTTATGAAGACTGCCATAAGAAGATTCCATTTCCTAAAGATACAGCAATCACCACCCACAGTTCAGGTTTCTAATCCCATCAATCAGATGGGTTGTTTCTGACGTCCCCTTTAAGTTATCCAGAATCCAGCGCTACAAGTAGTAAACCAGAATGGCATATAGTTTTCTGACAATGGATGTACCACATTTTGCTTTCAGAATTTTTTCCAATAGAATCTTTCAAACCTTTGATTTGCCTTTTTCCCATGGATGTATTTTGGTGAACTATCTAAAGTGATCTCTGAGATCTTGGGGTGGGGTCAGTGATGGGAAGCATTTAAGACAATATATAGGCTGAGATAGCACACATCAAGGCACAGTAGCTATTAATTTTTTTTAATGCATTTATCAGTCCAGCTCTTTCTTGAGGTAAAAGACACTAGCATCATAAATGTACCATTTTCTTGAGCAATATAAATTAGTTCACTCCCCCTCAAAAGTGCTCCAATTATATAGCAAACGCTCCACAATGTTTTTGCACACAGGCTTGTAAAAGGGTGAGCAGACCCTACTGGCACCTCAGTGAGGCACAATTCCCTGGGGAGGCACTTTGCAAGCCCCATAGTGCTCGGGGGAAGCCGGTATTCCCCGTACTAGGGCAACGCATAGCAGAACTTCCTGTGTGAATGCACCCTCACGGTGCAAGAAACCCAAACAAGAAAGCAAATGGATTTCCAAGTTTGGCTGTTAGGCAAAATGAAAGTAGCTGGGAGACAAAAAGAGAACCAAAGCAGGGAATAGGAACCTTCCTTTCATATCCACATCAGCTTCCAAAGTTAGCAACAAACCAACCAACCACAATCCACATGCATGTTCAGGCCGGGTGTCATGCTTGTGGTTTCAGTTGTGAGAATGAACCATCTAAAGATCCAAGTCTGCTTTGTGATTTTTATTCATTTCAGCCGTGTATTTTAGTTTAACCGCTGCCACCATCATTTCAGCTTCTAAATATTACATAGATGGGCAATGACTGATGACAAATAGAGATTCCGTATCGTGATGTGATCAGCCACATTTTCATTTCCACCAGCCAACGCTGCTTAGAAATGCACAAGCAAAACAAACCCTCACACACACATATACCTTTTTTACACACAGCTGTTCGACCAAAGAGAGGCAGTACTTGGCACAAGATAAACCATTTCCCTCCTTTCCATGTATCTGGCACAGCCCTGGCCACCCCCACCCCTCACCCATCCCTTGAATGCCCGGGCACACTCTTACACGCTTAGACTCCAGTGCCCGCCGTGCTGAACACTGTGCAAAAAAGGGAGATACACGTCAAGGCAGTAGAGATTTGTACATCTGGGAATGTGCGCCTTTAGCAGCTCACTGGCACACCCACTGCCACCTTCCTTGCTGCATAGACACTGATCCAGACCGGCCCTGGGAATCCTTTCATTCTATGACCCACAGCATGCTTTTCCCAAATCGAAATGCGAGAAAGTCTGAAGCAGGAGCAGCAACTCAAGGAGCAGCTTCTCAGCGATGCATTTGTGGAAGCGCGCACTCTTGCATCTCTTTTCAGACTTGAGCATGGGTCAGAGCTCAGCTGTCCTGAAACTACCTTAAGCAAAAAGAAAAGCTGCTACATGCAATGTATGTGCCTATCTCTGGCTGGGTTCAAACACAGTAACCTGCATTCAAGATCTAAGGATTTTTTGCTGTTGAACCATGAGTTGCTGCTCAAATGTGCCATCCAAACCCAGTTAACCGCAAACAATCCACAAAGGGAGTCCGTGGTTGGTTGCTGGCTTAAGAACGCTGGGTTGATCACCATGGTTTGCTAGCTCCACTCAGTTTGAAGAACACAATAGCCCATGTTTCAACAAGAACCCATTAAGCCAGGCTCACATGTTGTGACAAGCTAATGTGTGGCTTTTACCAGGCTTTTTTTGAGTGGCCGTGCCTGAAAGCCATCTGGGCTCAGCATGGACACTCTCCTTCCATCTGCCATTTTCTTCCTTCTCAGTCCTCCAGACAGTATCCCCAGAGGCACCACAGGGAAGGTGTTGCAATCATGAGCTGAACTGCAAAGAGGCCTCTGCTGCATCTGCACGGCTCACATCCTGAAGCACAGCTGAGGCGACAAGGAGCTGGCCAGGCGCCCTCCACTCCTACTCCGGGGCCCCACTTGAGCAGGACAGGGTGCCTGGTCCTCATTGAGGCAAAAGGGGGAAGAGCACTGCAGAAGGAGCAGGGCCGCTCCCTTGATTCCCACTCTGTCACTTGGCACGTGCCAGAGCGAAGTGCCTCTTGCTGCTACTTATGTCAGAAGGAGGGAAAAGAAGCCCCCAGGTGGCGGCAATGAGGGTCAGGTGGCACAGGTCCCCTTTCGCTCTCTGGCCTGCCAAAGAGGGAATGCAAAGCCAAGCAGCTGTTTGGGCCTGGCCTCGTGACCATGCCATGCTATGTTTCCCAGTTCAGAGGACACAATGTGCCATCGTTGTACCGAGAAACCAAATATTCCATGCCAAGATACCACAGTGGAGTTCAGACAGCAAGACAGCCCCCTCCCCCAGCAAAAGGTAAAAAACGCCATTGCTTATCCTGTCACGCGAGTCCGCCTATAATCCATCTCTGAGTGCAAGTGTATTTATTTCTTTAAAACTTTTATATGCCATCCCTTATGCATGGCATCTCGGGATGGCTCACCAATCATGTCACCCGAACCTAATTCTTCTCACACACCAACTGCTAGGGAATTTCAGCCAGGCAGGATCGAACTACATGCACACCTAAAAGCAGCTCAGCTGACAGACTCCTGCTAGGGAAGGGTGGCTCCATGGCAAAGCACCAGCACAGAATGCAGAAGGCTGCCGGTTCAGTCCTTGGCGTCTCCTGTTGAGGAGCAGGAAACTGAGTGATAGGAAAGCCCTGCAGGGCTGCCGGTCAGAGAAAAGAGAGTCAGACTGCCTGGTATGAGGCCACTGTCTATATGCTTCCTTTTCCCCACTTTGTGGGAGGATGCCTTCAGGATTATCCAGCAGTTTGCTTCCCACAGGGCAAGGGGAATGTACTGCCAGCATCCCGGCTGCCACTGCTCCTGACGCCTCTCACCCTCAGCACCAATCGCACTAACCATTTGGGTGCAAACAAGCATTTTCACAAACAAGTCGCCCAAGGGCCTCCCCCCTGCTTCCTTGCTTTAAAAAAAGAGAATGGGAAAAACCTGTGACCATCAGGGGTGCAGAAGATTTTATTTGCCATAAAAAGGAATATTCAGGTTAATATTCATTTGTATTGGAGCAAGAGGTACTTTAAAACCTCGTGTGTGAAATCGTTCAAGATTCTTGCACAAGCAGACTAAAATGGACATATTATCTGCCCCTATAGAATGCCTTTGGGATAAGAACTGGAACTGGGAAGGCAACGCACCTCCACATTCATTTGTGGACATTAAATGCAAGTTTAAATGACCACTTTAAGAGTACCGTGAGGACAATATGGGCTACCCAAAGCCAATTTTTCCCCAGTATCCAAATCCATGTTTGATAAAGGATAAACCACTATGCCAACAGCATGACTATTTTAATACTGACCTTAGCGTGTGTAAAAAATGGTTAGACATTTACATCATTACACATGCCTCAAGAAAAACACATACATATACATTTACAAAAATATTTGGCAAAAGCAACAGCATTTGTTTACTCTTTTCAGAAATGTTTCTCACTGTCAAAAGATCTTAGAATAAGAAAAGGACTCTCAAAAACCTGTAAGATCCAGCTAGAGGAACCATACACATAAAAACACTGGGTGGTACCAGTGAATGTATCATCAAGGAGAAAACAAAAACACATGAGTTACGGGATCAAAAACACTTGTTATATTGACAAGCTTAACACAAAATGTTGACGGTTCTTGCATAACCTGAAGCTGCATCATACAATTCAGAATCACGCATTCCCACAATGAGACGGTCCGGCCATCTTTAGAGTACCTTGCAATCATTATGTTTACCTATGAACAGGGCCTGTTCCACGCCTCTTGTGCATTGTGGGTTACACATGCGCTGCTATGCCTGTTAAATAGCTGGCACAGGTTGAACACTGTCAGTTTCCCTACTTTTCAAGGAAAGAAGGCCCAGACTCTGCAGCGATGAACAACCTGCTTGGGGAGGACAGGGCTCTGCCAGTGGGGCCAAGCAGCTATTTAACAGACCTTTTCACAGACTACCTCCAGTTCAAATTAGTGTGCGGTCTCAGTCATTCAAACTGGATGCATATGCAATAGAACAATGCACAGATTTCTTAAAATTTTATTTTGTTTGGCTTGAAGCAAGAATACTTTGCAGGTCACAATTGCAGCCTCTCTCTAAACCTTTGCATCTTCAGTCTAATAGGTTGCATCTTCCGTTCCAGCTGTGGAGCAAGGAAAGAACAGAGACTGCAAAATGAGCTGTGCTGCCTGCAGCACATTAAACCAAGCAGACAGGAGGAGGCTGAAGCCAAAAACCCAGGCTTTAGGGCCTGGAGGTTTACCAGGCACAAATCCAGAAGTAAATATAGCCAACATCACAATCTCAGGTTGAGTGGATCAATAACAGTACAATCAACTGAAGTACCATCTCATGAAGCTTAGTGAGTTCACCCTTTTCCTCTTGACATTGGAAACATGGGGAAAATTTAAGACAGACCATTCCTTCTTCAAGATTTTGATTAAGAGGTAACTTAAAGAAACCTTTGGAACACTTCTACCTACTGAATATAAAGTATGCTTGATTGTTTTCAGAAATGGGTTCTTCCTTCATCCACAGATTCCGCTTGGTTAATGCCTTCAATGCTATGCACTGGGGACCTTAACCATTCATTTCAGAGCCTATGGATTTGCCACAGTGAATACCCATGGGCCTAGGCCAAGCACAAATTAAGTTTAAGGAGGCCCAAAGGCCAAGTTTTGGGAAATACCTCTGGAGACAGCCAAACAGCAGAGTCCCTATTAGACACTAGTTCATACTCATACTTTGAAAGGCATTAAATAATACATTGGCCATTTTCATACATTGCTACATATGCTTCGTCCTGCAAGTTGACATGAATAGGCTTTTAATACCAACAATTACTTATGGGATCATTTCTTAAACTACTTGACATGAGAAAACAGCTCATTCTTCATCCCAAATGTGAGCCGAGAATAGTTGTACAGTTGAGTAAATAGTTGTACAGTTGAGTAAACTTAGCATTGTCTACTCCAAACATCGTAAGTTCCTTTTACAGAGGTTTTTAACATTCTTAAAACAGCAGCCCATACAACCTCAGTATAGCCTACAACCTGCTCCCTAAGGTAACTTAAGACAAATAGCGTGTGTGGGTGGTGGTTTGCCTAAAGGCACCTAGCAAAGTCATGGCTGGCTTGAAATCTGAACCAAACACTTGTCAATTCATAGCTTGGACAGTTCACCATTACAGGGTCTCACACAATTATGAAATGAAGCGGAGAAGTTCTCCTTAGTTCTCACGTTCTTCCCTCCATAGTTATCCAACGGAGGGGATACATTAAATAGTACAGAGCATGAACTATGAAGCAACTCTTTGCTCTGGTACTGCAAAGCAACATGTGAAATTTAGCCTGATCCAGGGAACTGACTTTGAGAAGCAGAGCAGTAATTTATTCCCGTGGGTATGCAGTACGGCAATCTCAGAAACCATTCTAAGCATCAGCTCCATTGGGAAGATTTTACAGAAAAACTGCAGATCGATCTTAGCAAATGCAAGTGAATGATGCTCAGGGGAAAATGGGGTTACACTTTGCAAAATCAGGTCTTTCTTGAAGCTTTTGGCACAGTAGATTTGAACCTATGTAGCTTGATTAGCTGGACTAAAAGGTGTCTTGAATAATTAAGCAACGTACTTCTTCACTATTCAAGGCAAGTCCTTACACAAGCTATGGGGAGAGACACCATCTGATGGCCAAAGCGGGCATTACAGGAAACAGACAGAGACTCCCATTTTTGTTTGCAAGAGTCCCTGCAGAGCAGCCTTCCCACTCCTGGACATCGCTCTTGTCAGCACCACCCAGTCAGGAACGTGAGGAGTTTTAGTCCAAAACATCTGAGTTGCTGAACCCTATCCTAGAGCAGCCTTCCCAGCAAGGGCCCTTCAGATTTCTGGCATGTGCTTTTCAGCATCCTTTGGACAGCCAAGCACGCTGCACGTTTTAATCCAAAACATCCAGAGGGGACCCAGCTGCAGAGGTATGTATGGCGAAGAGGAAAGGATGGGGGAAGAAGGGTCTCCTTTCTCTGCTTTCCCTCTTGTGGTATGAAGGCAAAAAGTTATATGAACCCTAATCTACCCCCTACTCCACACTGGGAAATCAGTTTTGGAGAAGCGGGGGTGAGCACAGCAGGAAGGAAAGGAGCAGCTATTTCTCTTGGTGCCTTTCCTTAGAAACTACTTTCCAGTAAAGCCTAACCTACTCTACACATATTTACATCTCTGACCCAATCAGTACAGTCCTCACATCTCCTGCATGACATTTAACATGGCTTTTAGAAATAGTATCTGTTGTGTTATCTGCATGAATTTCCTAAAAACAAAGTACTTTCCCCCACTCCTCAAAATAATTTATTTTCCTCCCAGAAAACCCCGAAGTACATTCTTCCCCCAATCACAGGTTCATTTAGGCAAATGACATCATCTGAAGGTCATACACTGGACATCCGGCATAACATATACGTCACTTGTCCAACATGCAGGCCTGCCAGAATTGTTGACAAATGCACAGAGGAAGATGCATGAAGAAATGTAGCTTGTTGATTCTTCATGAACTTGAGATTCAGAGGAGCCAGAAGCCACCCATGAAATTCAGGGTCAAACACATCACAGAGACAAATGGTCGTGGGTGAAAGGTGTGATGGATCTCCCCATACCAGCTTTTCATCCTCCTCAGTCAAATAGCATTTTGTTAAATTAGTGTACTGATTACTAAATGAAAAGAACCCAATTGTGGTGTATACAATAAAATTTAAAATTAAGGTTGCCTTTTACGCACTTTGCGTATCTGATGTTGTAGCACTTTAAGCATTCTAGCCTAAGTGGTAAACAGGACTTAACTGTAGCAAAGAATCAGACAATTGTACTAATAGAACAGTATTCATACCTTTGTTACTGTAAAATGTACAGCAAATTCTAGAGATGTAGCCATGCATGCTGAATTCAGAGGCTTACATGCATCTGCCACAAGGGTGACTGGATTGAGCCCTGTTCTATACATGTGAAACAAAAAAATTCTTGCATCTCCCTACATTCTCCAGTCAGCATTGCACCTTCAGTCTTGCAGCACCTTAAAGACTAATTAACTTATTCTGGAATAAGCTTTGCAAATGTGTCAGTCATTAAAATGCCAGTACTGTTCTATCTATGAAGCAAAAGTCCCACACTCATAAACATTTCCTTCAAGCAGTTGTTAAGCCAAGAAATTCTCTTAAGAAAAGCAGAGCAAATATGCTGAATTAGTAATCAATTTTAGGGGCACTTCTTCCTTATGAAGGTGCAACAACCAAATGCCAAAAAAGAAGTTAAACCGAAGATATGGAGTTGGAGAGAACAGAAGAAGGAAGGTACATGTATGCTTCAATGTTAAGTTCTTAAGTTTGAAGTTAAAGAGCAATTAATTACATTGAAAACCCTCAAATGTGGCATCAAGAGCTTCTTTCAGTGATGGTTAATAAGAAATGTAAAATCGCTATATTCGTAAATGGTATCTGCCTTTTTAATTACCCCCTCCCCAAAAATGTTCAAGACGATTTTCACAGCAATAAGTCAGTACTATCATGAATGATGTTTGACATAAATTTGGTCACCAGGCGATAAACCTTTTCCTATGGCAAACACACCAGCAATTCTAGAACAGAAATGAAGCTTATCTGATTTTTCCTCCTTTTTAAAGGAAAAAAGACTACAAACTTTCAGACACAAACACAGACTTCCCCACCCATGCCATTCCCAAAAAATGGCCAGCAAGAACGTATAACAATATGGACTATACACCATTCCAGCAGGTCTGATTAGAAAGATGAGCATTCTAAAACAAATTAGCATGTTCTGTCTAGACTGTACCAGCTCCTGCCTTCCTCAAGCCTCACACAACAAGCAGGGGCTAATTCAAAGACACTTTACAGATGCCAGTAGGACCTTCTAGCAGCCATTTCCCCTTTCTAATGTGAAGGAGCAAGGAGAACCAAGAGGTTTTCAGCATTCCATGGTCAGCCACCCCTTACCTGACTCACAAGGAAAAGGGAGGACAATAAACATGTCATGTTTGCAACTTGCATTCAAGAGATGGGTTTATTATTCTTATTCTTATTATTAATAATATTTTAGTGTTCCATTCATCAATTTCATTCAATATAAAGTGGTCCAAGAGAAGAAAGAGTCCCTGCATTTCCTGTTGTTAGCCAGAATAGGAGTGTTCAAGGCCAACTCAGACAGTTCAATAAAAAGCTGATGGAAAAAACATATGGTTCCAAAGTTTCAGAGTTGAGCAGTCCCAAGTTTCAGCACAGGTAGTGTTCCTCCAGGTGGGAAAAGTCTTTCACCAAGTCGTGCATAGAGTATCTTCAGTACGCTTAGCCGTAGTGGTACTGTGTGCTTGGGTCAAAGGTCCACGGTGCAGGGAAAGTTGGGTAGGGGAAGATGTGACTTCTTATTTGGTCTCGGGCTTATCTTGCAGCAGTGGTATAAGAGACTCCCACGCCGTAAGGCACTATTTAAACCAAAGACACAGATATCGCAATCAACAAACCGCTCAGTCCTGTAATTGAGACCAGACCCCAGGCGGCCCTAAAATTGCAAGAGGTGAGTTCAAATGTCTGATCAGCACAATAGCTCTCAGTTCCATTCAACTAAACACAATCATGTAAGCGTGTCTTACACATACAGGACTCTTCACTCTGTTTGGAGAATGCGCAGTTTGCACCTCACAAGTGAGATTCAGTCACACATGGAGTTGGGCATCTGCTGATGAACTGTCTTCCAGATAAAGATCAGGAGCAACCTTCCCCAGGACATTTCCACAGCCTTGTAAATGACTTGGCCTTCAGCTTCCATCAGCCTCAGCCCACGTGACCAGTGGACAAGAATTTCTGGGAGCTGTTGCCCCAAACATCTGAGAACACCAAAAGCTTTTCACAGGCCTTAATTGACTAATGGAAGCTTTTTCCCCCCCAAAGACATTTTCACGCAGTCAGGCAGAATGACCAAGTATCTGCCAAGTAAAAGCAGTTTAAAAACCCAAAGAAGACGTATTTTAAAAAAAATACCTCATCAACCCAAAGACTATGTGCTTTATTTGCAACATGTCTAAAGACTTGCTCTTTAAAGAAAAGCAAGCCAGTCAGAATTGAGCTCGAGAAGGCTGCAACTACTCTGACCTGGAGAACTGCAGATTATCAAGGTGGAGACAAAAACCTCAGAGCTGCTAGCCCAGGACTCATGCAGTTCCCTCAGCCGAGCAGCACTTCACTTCTTGGTTCATCTGTGAACCAGCCCCTTTGCATTTGCCACCACTGTGGCCACACGGCTTGCTAATGGCTTGCTAATGATGTATAAAAAGCGCCCAGGTGCAGTACTTCTAACCCAGATGTCCGGGCTTTGCCCATGCCCTGAATCTAGCATGAATCAGTTCTAGGAAAATTTTCCATTTGCTTGGTTCTTAAGCTATTACTGCTGGAGCCGATACCAGATGCTATGTCTTTGTAGAAGCATTGGAAAGCTGCAACCTTGAAAGCAAGCAAGCGTCAAACCTACTCGGAGAGAAAAGGACACGGCTTGTTTCTGTCAATATAGTTGCCTCGCTGAACGAGTCAGAGCCAACCCAGGGCTGCCGGGCCTTTCTCTACCACTGCTGGTGCCCCCATGAGCTCCACTACTGAGGAATGCATAATGCTCCGTAAGTTCCCGTTCTCAGTAATGGGAAACATGTGTCTTCCCCATGCTGTCGGATTGCACCTTTCGTTGCCCCAGTGACTGGGTATGTACACTGTCTGGGGCTGATGGAAGCTGCGGTGCAGCAAACTCTGGAGGGGACGGTTCTCCATCCCTGCCTAAGCTCTTCCCAGCAGCTGTGCCAATATCTCTGGGCAACCTGCAGCAGGGGGCGCTCTTCCCGGCTTACCAAAGCAGCTTTCACCTACTAGGGCAGCTGCCAGCAGCCACAGGACTAATAAAGAGCTACAGTTATAAGTGGTTTGGGGTAAATAAGAACTATAGCAATTCTACAGCATTCTCTACCATGTTCAAGCTACAGTAAGTTAAATTTGAGCAAGCTGGTCACTAAATTCCGCTCCTTTGCTACCCTACATTCAGTGAGAGCCTTTAAGATTTACCTTCTCGTAATATTGGATGTTGTTATCTGCCATTCCCATCAGTAGCTGCCGAAAGTCTTGCCGCTTATTGCTCTGCCATCTGTCCATATCTGCTTTGAGGTCTGCATTGAAGCACTCTACTCGGTCTTGACACTTCTCAACATCTGTGGGCACCTGGAGACAAAGAAACCACTCAGCACTGGCGCAGAAATGAGCTATATCTTCTCGGCAAATGGACAATGACTGATTGGAAACGGAAAATTTTCCCCTTGTTGGAAAGACTTGTCTATGAATACACACCATTTGGATCTATCATCATCCTCTGTTTGGTATCGACCCATTCTACTGAACGACTGACCAGTGATGGAATGTGCTTAAAATCTGAGTCGTCACCTAATGTTAGCAGTTATCCAGTAGTCAAATGCTAAGTACAAATGAGAGCCTCTTACTCCAAGGCCATTTCTCTCTCTCAGCTACTGAGCCATCAGGAGAACCTGAGGTAAGATTAGGGTAGACAAAGCAGCAAATTGGATCTGGTGTTGGATCTGGACCAAGGTTCCCTGGATTCATATTCTCCAAAAGTTTATGAAACTGACTGGCTGGCCCATCTATCTTCCAGCTTCATAGGACTGTTAAATGAAAATAATGGAGTCATGCTTGCATAATGTCCTAAAGAGATTGCTAACATGCTGCTAGGAATATTTACTCTTGTTTGTATCCCAGTCCAGTGGAACTTAGTCCTGGAAGCAAGCTGCCAAAGGGCCACCATCCCTATTTACTGTTCTAAAAAGATGGAGAGCTTGATACTTTAGACTAGTGGTTCCCAAACTGTGTTCCACAGGTTCCGCAAAAGACTGGTAGGGGTCCCACAAAAATCAAATTTAAAACGGAATTTAAAATGAAACCACATGAGGCCAACTATTTGATTTTCAGTTGGCTTCCAAGCAGCAAGCAAGGAAATGCATCACATCATTTGGTTCCTACAACTCGATTGTGCAGGATTGGGAATAAGTGAAAGAATTCATTTGGGATATCATCATATAATCACTTTATTCAGTCATTGTATCTTAAATGTTTTTCTCTTTATTTCCAAACCTACTATGTTATGCAAAGCACTCAGGAAACAGGAGCAGATGAAAGAACGTTGTATGTTCACAATGCCGCATGCAGGTGGATCCTACAGAACTGTAGCAAAATGAAAAGCACTGAAGACAACGGGATAAATTAGCATGCAAAACCAGAGTGCTCTCTCCCACCTCCAACAGCTACCCCCAAAATCCTAACCTTTGGGCGCTCTTCCCTTTTCAGGACCACAGCTTCCAGTTTGGCTTCATATTCTGCTTGAACTTGATCTCGTTTCTTCAGTACATTCTAAGGAACAGAAATCGGATGCTTCAGTTAGGGAAGACACTTCCAGTTCCCCGTTCTGCTACCGATAAATGACTGCTTTTGCAACCCTTTGCAGGTACTTCCTATGCAGTCCCATCAAGCCCGATGCAAACCTGTGCCACCTTGGGTAGGCAGAAAACGTCCAGTGAATGGAGAGGCGACCACACTGTCTTCTTGCACTGGACCGCGTGCCCATAAATGCCATACGCAGCTCTCAGAGGTTGCTGGGGCAGCCCGCTGCAAGGTGCCCACTCACCCAGAAGCCCCCTCTCTCCTGCTACCACAACTGAGCTGAAGAGTTTTCATGAGGATGTCTCTCTTCACTAAATCCAGAATAGTAGTTCCACCATGGGAAGGACACAACCCGTGGAGCAGGACTGGACTTCCCTGTTATTTCCTCCCCCAGACGCGTGGCACAGGTGACCCCTATCTGCAAGTATAAAGGTTCAAGCACAACTTCTGATGACAGCAGGAAATACTATTTAATTTGCATGTCCCCCAAACAAAGTGTTTTTCCTTGGAAAATCTATGGCGTTCTTTTCCAAGATGTTCTTAAAGGGGGTTAAAATGGCTGGTGTTCACCCTCAGGTTTGGTACCTGTTGCAAAACTCTGAAAATACAGGGTTAAACAGATCCAGCAAGCAAGATGTAACCAAACAACATAGATGTAACTCCCTGTCTACAGCAGTGGTAGCAACCCCTGAAGCACACAATCCCATATTCAGAGGCACAAGGGCAGGCGATTTCTTGACAAATGTGCTAAATTTGCTACCCACTTACAAACAGCTCCCTCACTCAATTATAATTCACTGGCAGTAAAATCCCCTGAAAATATTTATACAAGGACAGCTGGTGGTCGCCCTTTTAAGAAGTATCCTTCATTTAGAAGAAGTAACTTGCCGACTAATTCACAAAGATCGTGGGATGACAGCCCACAAAATGAACACGTGGCAGAGGCTTTGTAGTTGTGGAGAAGTTACTGAGAGAGAAAGCGGAACAGCTACTTTATGTGAGGGGCGAGGCACTGGCATTCTGCGCCCAAAACAGAACTCCTTCGGGTATTCCCACATTAAGCCTACTGTCCACCTTCAAAGGCTGGTTCGTTGACGCTAAGAACAGCTTTTAAGGTTGTTTCAAGTTCCAGCCAGATGCACAACAGTAGCAAATTACATTTTTAGTGGTTCTGTGTAGAATGTTATGCTGGCACCTTGCGCAAGCCCAGAGCTGTGTGCCTCAGCTGGCCCCGCTGCACCAAATCCTGCAGTCATCTCAGCTGGACTCCCAGCCTGCCTACTGGTTTCATGAGGATTCATGAAGATCGGCATCTCTGCATCTGATGAGACAACCGCTGCCATAAGGTGTGGAACCTGGACCACGCTCCCTTTCGGCAACTACAGGGCAGAACACTGGGAGGCCATCTGGAAGACATTCACATCACAGCCAACTATGTGGCGCTCTTCCCTCTAGTCATTATTAGGTACGAGTATGTTGAATTCTAATGAAATAGCTGCCGGTTAAAAAGAAGTTGGCTTGTAGAATCTATTGGGAACCATTTAAGAGATGAATCATTAATAGCAAAATGAGGGGTCTGGAACTAGCAAAGCCCCATTCATGTACAACTCAGCACAAAGACCTGGGAAATATCAGATGGTTGTTCCCAAGCAAATAGGAGAGGCAGGGGGATTTAAAAAGTTCTTTTAGCACTGCCATCTGGAATTCCAGTTCAACATCCCCTCCCACCAATGCACAGGCAGTTCATTTCAGTTCTGCACCCCACCCCACCCCACCCATTGTCAGGCATGCAAGATAACTGCTTCCGAGGTCTGATAACGCAGAGCTACATGTACAGACTAAAATATCTACCACTCTTCTCAAAGTGAGCTTCTAAATAAAAGCAGAAATGCTGATTTATTATCCATTCTACCATTAGAGGGTAAGCTGTTTATGCTAAAGTCACTTTTCCATTGGTTTACACCTTAAATGCTTTTTCAGCACTCCCTAGTTTCAATGCATCCTGCACGATAAGTTTAAGTGGTTGAAATGTTCTCTGTCTAAACAGAAGGCAGCTGGGTTTACATTTTTGGGCTAAAGACTTTGAAGTCAGTCCTCACAGTGAAGGAAAGAAAACTGGAAATGCGGCCTGATAGCAAACGCTTTGCCTGCCTCGCCCAGGATCTTGGTGGGGGCTTCCTGGGGTCTCAGGCTGAGGGGTGTGTAACCACTCTGGAGTTTACTCCCAATGTTTAAGGAACTATCCATGGAGGAAAGGCTATTTTTTCTTGTGGGGGGGGGGGTTGTTCAGCACCTTGGGTAGCTCCTTTAAAGTTCAGACTAACCACTGGAGTGGCTATATGGCCACAGTGACAGAGAAGCAACCAGCCCCAACATCCACCCAGCTTTTTTTGTTTTATCGGAGACGAGGGAGACTGAGCCAGCATGCCAAGCGTGAGCTCTGCCTATGGGCAGTGGTTCTTTTGAAAGAGCTGCAGCAGGCAGTTCTACTGAGGCTGCTGCTGTCCCTTTAAACAGCAGTTGGAGTGCATTAGTAACTTCCACCTATCCACAAAGAGGAGCTTTGCAGAAATGTATTGCTGCATGTGACAATAATACACCACATTCCAACAGTGTTCTGAAACCAACGTATGTTATTTTTTTTAAGGGGGGGGAAAGTCAGCCTACAACCAGAGGATTTCTACAAAGGCACTCAAGTGTGCTGCAATTTCTTAAGTGACAGGGGAGCAGACGGGTCCGCCATCTCAGCACGCTCCGAAGCTACTCTAGCAGGAGCAGTTATCAATATTTAACCCTACTCCATTTACCTGCTATCCAAACACTCCACTGGGAATGCTTTGCAGGAACTCTGCCCCACACGTCCCCTCTCACGACAACAGTTCCTACTCCTCTGCTTTCTTATTTTAATTTAATAGCAAGTCAGCATGAAAATAACACAGAACGGGTTCCCCCTTGGCCTTCTCGCAGTTTACAGATCATTACTGGAGAATTAAGAAATGAATGTGGGCGAGCCTGCTGGGCTGCAGCCATATGTGAAGTTGGAGTGGCGCTGAAGGTGGCGGCACTGTGGCAAAAGCACTGCGGCACAGACACGAGGCGAGGGCCTGCGACCAAGCATGAAGGAGGTGCTCCTCTTCACAGCAAGCCAGCCACAAGCTCTGTGAACACCACACTGTCTTCTGGTGTTGAGGCTAGCCACAAACTCAGACATCCTTCTTGCGTAAGGGCTACAAAACTTGCCTTAGATGCATTAAAATTCCACAGGAAGCTTAAGCTGCAAGGCTTACTGCATACTGATCTGTTGTGTGGCCAGCAACCTACGCACAGCTATACTTTGAAAACAATGATTAAGAAATATATATTTATGTGCATGTAAATATGCACACTCATACAAGCAGATACACATGGTATGCTAGAAAAGCCAGCTGTCAACCACAGAGTAGCAACTGCCACTAGCCACTTTGGAGAACCTGGAAGTGGAACATGTACTCCATGCACTTGCAAGAAAAAAAAGAGCAGACCTTCTGCCAGTTCACCAACCCTAATCCCATCCACTCTCTCAGTATTGCTTACACTGAACTTCTTCATGGTTGAAGGATTCCATTCAAGCAGGGTTGAAAAAAAATCACCTTATGAAACGTTTTCAGATCCTGAGTTACAGTGACTCCTAGTGAGCCTTAAATATAATTTAAGCTTAACATAGTACGAGAAGAGGAAAGGAGAATTTGCTTCAGGAAGAAAGCACACATTCCTGAGAATAGCTCTAACTCTGCTAATCACAGCCGGCAGGAAGCAAGAGTTATAAGTGCATCAGTTTTCATGCATCAGAACTGTTCTCTTTTCACAGGAATGCACCATTTTTAGAACTATTTATGCCAGCATGACAGATGGCATACTCAGACTACCAAAAGCATTCTTGAAGAGGCTAAGGGGGAGGGGGTTGTACATGAAATACTTCAAATATTGTAGGAATCAGAGAGTTTTCTTTGCAAAGCAAGAAGCTTAAGCAGTTCCTACAGCCCTAAAAACCACTTCCAGAAAATGATGCTTACTTGGAAAAGTGTTTAATAAAAGTAACCAAGCCTCAGACAGGTTCCACTTTACCTTCATGGACTCTGAATAGAGGATATATTCTCTCAGAACAGGCAAGAAGTCCTCTGTCATGTCTTCAGTCAATTCTTCAAGCGCTGTACAACAGTTCCCAACACAGGCAGAGACACCCTCAAGCGGCTCGGTCAGTTCTCTTTCTAAGCCACTCCAGGTTGAGTAAATAGGTCCATACTCTCGGAGTTCCACCAGGTATTCTGCAAGAGATCCACTGTGTGAAAAGGAAGGCTTGGAAATACCAATTTCTGGGTTTCAAGAAGGCACCAGATTTTTCTTTAAAGGTGAGAAAAATCTAATGGTTGGCAAGATTTTGTTCCAGAGAGCATGTGTTGCAACCTGGGAAGGAAGCTCCAAAAGTTTTGGAGGAAGGCATGCTTGTAAGATCTATAGTAGTGTGAAATGGAGGGAAAGAGTGTGAAGCAAGTGTATGGGAAATTAATTTGGAATGTCACTCAATGGGTTGGATCCAGATGAGCCCAAACTCCCCACCATAGCCATGGCCACCCCTTAGGCAGCCTCTTCAGCTCCCTGAAAATGCTCCAGAAAAGGTCAAGGATTTTGTTGAACAGAATGAGCTCTTGTGCAGGGATAAAGGAAGACAATACCTGGAACATTAAGCTGAGGCGCCTTCTGTGATAGGAGTCCTGCAGAGGAAGCCAATCCGAGATCTAACCCATTTTCCAAGACCATTAGAAATCCTTTGACACAGCTCCATGCACAATATTGCCGCATCCAAGGGACGATGGATGGAAACCATTCACTACTCCTTACTCCAGAAACTCACCTACTTCCTCCTTGATTATCCGTTGTGCTATTCTATCAATGGTTCCAAGCTTCAGAGAAAATGTATCGAGATAGTCACCAATGGCTGCAAACTCCAGCGGTCGACTTCTTAGCTTATAACTGCCTGTGACATACTTTACTGATTCTCCCATCTTCGAAAGCAAGGCCATTCCTTGCTTTTTATAAGCATTCAGATCCTGGTGGTAACAGACAGGTTCATTAGCTTTTAGCTCTCTTCAACTTAGGCCACCTAAAATATATTTGTTCAGCAATAAACTCAAAGGTACAGAGCCACTGCATTTCTCATCTACAACTCATTAATGTCCCTTCATTTTAAAAGTTTTGATTCAGGCTTTCAGCATGCATATTATGCCAAAAATTATGCTTTAATGTATGAGTAGACTAATATAATGCAAATTAATCCACACAAAATCCTAAGCAACATTGTTAAAACAATGAACGTGTCAGACATATGCAACAGCTAATTTAAACTATTCATGGAAATTTCTGTTTGGAGTTTTTTTGCAACTGAAGGTTAAGATGTTCCATCTCCACTGTTCTGAACTCCATAAAGATTCATGGGTATAAAACACTAATTTGGTAAAATTTCTATTTAAGCCAGGGCGCGGAGGCGGGGGGGGGGGCTATTCAATAGCTTAGCATCTAGACTCACTCAGTGATTTCTACAGGAATCTGTACTGTATTACTCTTAAGATTTCCTTAGTCTGATCCGAAGAACGATGTGGTCCAACGCCATGCCCTCAACAAGAAGCCCCAGCAAGCTGCTGCCAATAAATTTAGCAAGGTAAGAGAGACTAAAGTACATTGCCTGGGGCATGCGAGTCAATATTACAGCTATTTGTTGCTATCAGACTATAATCCTACTATTACATACAGTGCCACTAAATTTTTTGGAGCTGCGATTAACACCCGGGAAAAGTTGTTGAACTGCAGCAATTTCTAATTTGGAGCATGAGAGATGCTATACTCCATGGCCCATTATGATGGATCCTATAATAGAGTTGTTAAACTATTTAAATAAATATTTCTTAAGGGATTATATAGCAACTCAATAAGGTCAGGTTGCTTGGAGACTACTTGATTGATATTTTCTGTTTTATTTTTATCCCTAACTTTACCATCATTTTAATGTTGAGTAAATAATTGTAGTATTTAATATATTTAAATGCTATGTTGCTTATGCTGAGGGTGAAGTGACTTCAGGAGTTCTGTTTTATACTGGTCTGTGACCGTAATGAAGGATTTGATTTGATTTAAGGTACATTGTGGAAATTGCATTCTCCCATTAGTAGTAAACACCGTGGAGATCTTCATGCTTTCCAAAATAAAAAAGACAGACTGCACAATGGGCCATTCTACATGAAGACATTCCTTAGCCACATCATAACTTTGTGCATGTTCTGCAAGAAATGTACTGGTAGCCCAGCATATCAAGTGGCTTCCAGAATCCCATTTTAATTTGCTATATGGTAAGAATCACCCTTCAGCAATTAGAATGAGCACATGGCAGACAAGGACAGGAATTTATATTTTGTAATGAAATAAGCCTGAAGCCAAAAACCATGAAGCTGGCTCTGCATTATGTGCTAAGAATGGTGGAAGACAACAAGGAGATGCAACACAATTCCAATGACTTCTCTGTCACAAGAGGTTGTGATGGCCACCGATGTAGATGGTGTTAGATATATTCAGGGAGGATAAAACTACTAGCCGTGAGGTTTTTATGAAACCTCAGGCAGGCATCTTGCAGGAAAAAGGATTAGATAGGATCCAGTAGGATCCAGTATGGCAACTTGTTCAAAGTAGGATTTCCACTTTCTATTTTCACTATGGATAGTTCGGCCTATGTCTTTGCACAAAGTAACCTTGCAAGTTTCCAACTGACCTGAACTTCAACTAAGTTCTAATGTGCTCTGCTAAAGCATATCTAAAAGAGTATAAACGTCATTGAATACCAGCACCTAAGGTTACTGTTTAAGGAAAGTGGTAATTTAGTTAAATTAGCTGTACTGCTAAAAACATACTTGCATTGTCTTCAATAATGCAACATCCTTTTCCAATGAAAAGAAGCTGCTTCCAAATATGTCATTCAGAAAGCTACTTACTTTGGCAGTAAGAAACACGTGGAAGTGTTCGTTAAAAGAAAGCACGGGATGGTCAGCGATCCTCTTCAAAAATTTATCTAAGGCTCTCCTCCTTGTCTCAACAAATTCTTCTGAAAAGCGGTCAACCACTCCTTTTACAACAAATTTCTCTGGAAGTGGCTGGAGAGAATTGGGGAAGAAGACAGTCACAAGCTATCAACATGCACATTCTTAGCTGGAGAGATAAGCAGCCAAAGAAGAGTGGCACGAGATATAAACAAGGATCTGTTTCAAATGAACATTTACCGGGGCAGTGCAGGTGGTTAAAATGTACAAGTTATGATGGCAGCATGCTAACATATGAAAAAAAATTAATGGAAATAAAAGCGCAAATGCTTTTGTCATAACCTTTACCCTCTTTAGGAGTTATAATATTTATTTTACCTTTTTCTACTGCATCCATTCTTTCACACATTCGTTCATTCGTTCTATTGTATTCATTCTTTTACACATGTCAACTCTGCATTATGTGTAAAAGGGTTGTTGAATCATACATTGTAATTACATGCAAAACCTGCACTATGATTTAACAAACCATGGGTTCTCACCCTGGATTGTTTGTGGTTAACAACCTGCACTTAAACCATAGTGTAGTTTATCACATGTTATGACAACCCAAAATTTAATTACTCAATCCATAGTCTGGGTTGTTTTTATGTGTGAATTAGGCTTTTTTATGGGAAACCAAACTGACAAGCATAACTTCATTCATATGAGAATGTAACATTTGTTAAAACTCTCTTCCAACAGTGATAGCAGTTGAATGAGAGATTATTCTTCACAAATAGGGAGCTTATGGAGAAGCTGTATTATATTGGGAGCATCTTCATTAAGCTCAGCATAATTTAGCATAGGTACAGAGGGGACTCATTCAGGACCCTGCTTGGCCATGGAAGGTCTTTGAAGATCTGGATTAGCGCCTTGTGCCTGCTTTTGAGTAAAACTAGAAGAGACGTGGCTTCTAGATGTGGATTTATGGCAACATCTGTTCTGGCCTCAAGAAACTGAGGAAGAACAAAAGCAAAATAGTTAAAGAACATCTGGCAACAACCGATAGAAGGAATCTCTCTATCCATGAACGTTAATGTTTTGTCTAAGTCAGATTGCTTAAAAACATCAAGTTTAGAGAATTCAGAGTTGACATTTCCATTTCACAATAGTCAACACAAGTTACAAAAACAAAGAAAATGTCTGTAACGGTATTTTGGCTGTTTGGATATATACCAAGAGTAAACAGCACAACAAAATGCTACTGGCCATTAAGTTTCATGATCTGAAAAAGCATGTGACTTGCACTTTTATGTCAGGAAATAAAGTTAAACAACACATCTTCCAGCCTTTGAACAGAAGTAGCATACTTTTACTCATTTACTGAAAACTTTTTTTTCAGTTTTACAATTGTAACACTTTGCCAATTTCTGAGATTTTTGGAGTGGCTTCACATCATTTTTGAAGTTCACCATGATTTTAGGTTCACCATGATTTTAACTTAAATTGGTCATGTTTGCTCATGTTTTCTACCATTTACGTAGAAGCTGGACACAACCCGACAAGCCCAAAATAGCTAAACATGGCCCAGTGCTGCTCTGTAGAAGCATAAAGACACTCCTCTCCAGCACACATATACTGAGTGTTGGGCCAGCTGGACCATTGACTGATAGTTTAGATTGCAAGCCTACAGGGAGAACCACTTTTTCCCTTTCTTTGATTTAAGTACAGCTCCTACTTAATGTAGATATTCTAGAAATAAATATCAAAACACTAAGAGAGAACAGCTAACTCTGAAGATGGTTGGGGTCAATATTTCTGTGAGTTGCCACATCCCGCAAGTATTCCCTGAACACGCATTCTTAAAAAATTCATTTGATTTTTAGCAGTAGTAATTTTCAGTCCTCCACAACATCCCAGCAGGCATCAAACACTTCAGGGAAGGTCATGTGGCACATTTCATTCAAAATTAAAATTGAACAGTAAACAACTTGGCGATCACTGCAGATTAAGTCTGTACTTCTAAAATCTAATAGCCACGTTCATTTTGTAACTTATTTTACAAAAGGGAGACTGCTCTTAGATGCCTCTGTTTGGCATATAAAAATGAAGCATCTACATCCTCAAAACTAACTAGACAACACTCTTTCTAGGTCAAGGATCCTCTGTGCATGCTCAGCTTCGGGGGACCCAAGGAGATTCTGGAGTGTAAGCATGCTTCTGCATTGATCTATGCTGTATGGCGGCTAACAGAAACTAACATAGGCAAGCAGCTAAACTACAAGCCTACTATACTGAACTATAACACCAACACAAACATAGTATGACACAGGATTGTTTTGGGATGGTTTTGTAGGACAGAATTATTGAATCAAGCTCTGCATTTTTACACACCTTGAACCCATTACTGCTGTAAAACCAGAAGATGTGTGCTTTTCAAAACAGAAGAGTTAAATGTTCAACAACTAGTGGTCCTGGCTTACTACCTACAGGAATAAGATGAGTCGGTTGAGATTCCTCCAGTTTACTCCTGAGCCAGTCAAAATCCTGGTATCTTCGGCGCAATGAATACTCTGGCAAGCCAAATTCTGCCCGGGTGGTCTGGGAAAAAAAGATTAAAAAGAGGGACAAGAGCAAGAGATATCAGAATAAGTCAAAAGAGCACTTATTTACACTCATGCACCTAGATCTACAAATCATACTACAAGCTGAAAGATTCAGGACATAGCGGAAGGGAAATTTTCAAAGCGAGTTTTCATGTCATGCTGCAACTTGCTTCAAAGAATGATGACACATCCACTTTATTAATATTTATCTGTGTCATACCAGTTTAACTGCTGCAGCTTCTCTCTTCTCAAGATGAGGAAACTGCTGTACAGCCCATGTCTACAGCCCATGACTTTTCTCCAAATAAGCCAAGAAAATTGAAAAACTTAAAACAGGAATCACTGGAGAGATACTAAAAATGTATGTACACAAAAGACAAACAAAATTCCTAAATCAGGAAAATATCCTAAGCCAGCAACCCACAGCAAGTATTAAGTCTTTAACTACAAAGTACTGAAAAGTTTTAATAAAGTGGTTTACTCAAGTAATTCCTCCCCCCAGGGGACCCTGAAAACTATGACTATAGCTAAAGATTTTATAAAATTCTTAAACCTGGGTTGGACATGATGAAATCAATGAGTCTTGTTAGACATTACAAACTTAAGTCTTTTGACTGAAATGGGTCTCCCCTAAATGTGGTGGCACAACAAGAGCGTACCACACAATCCAACCTACCTATCAGCTAGTTCACAAATGCAAGCACAGCACTCACTCTGGTTCATACATAACAATAACCCAGGATTTAAACAACCCGCACCGAGAATGGGTGTGCTGCCTCCTGCACACCTGCCACTTCTGCCTTTAAAGAACAATCTGCAGTCAGCTCATGGGTTGATAGTCTGGCGTTCAAACCAGATACCTTGTGTCTGTGGGTTAAACAACCCCAAGTGAGCCTAATATTGGTTCTCACGTCAACTTGGGGTTGTTTAAGGGACATTCTTCACAGTAACTTGTAAACATGTAGAATGTATGTGATACAGACAACAGGAAAATCATGAATGATTCTAACTACTAAACTGGAATAGAAAGAACCTGAATCAGAATGGAGGAGTAACAGCGTCCAGCTAAAAGTCACAATGTATAGAAGCAAACTGTGTTGCAGTACCTTCGTTGTGACCATGTACGTGATGTAAGTCTCCATTGTACAGACATGCTTTTTTGGATCATCAACAGTGACAAAGAGGTCTCTCATCTCCCCATCCAAGTCATCATCCAATTGCAGTCTGTTAAGAAGTGAGGAGGACGAGGCTGGGCTCGATGTATCCACTGGAGTACCATTGGGCAAACTGAGATCCTAGACAAAGCAACATGGCCAGGTGTGGAGAAGGAGGAAAGGAAGAGAAGGGGAAAGAAGAGTCATTTACTGAGTTTTAAAGCATCACCCAAACAAATTGATTCACTCAGAGGGACAAAATCCAATTAATTTTATGGAACCTACAAACATGATTGGCAATTTATATAGCTCTGCTGTCCCCAGTCTGATGCCCTCCAGAAACTTTGGATGACCTCTCTCAGCATTCTTGACCACTGGCCATACTGATGGAGGATGATAGGAAAAGGAGACCAAAACATCTGGATAATGGCAGTTTTGAGGAAGGCCAGCAGAAATCTCCAGGGATTCCTGGTTTCATGTACGTAACTTAGTTATAATCCAAGAATGGGTTACTTCGTTCCTCCAAATCTTTCAGACTACAACTCCCATGAATTCTCACTGGGGAATAATGCATCCAGATGAAAAAGAATACATATTTATATATTCTACCCATCACAAGAGCTTTCAGTTGGATTATTTTTTGTATCCACATCCTTGCTATTCTAAATCAGAGTGTATAAAATGGAAATGTTGCTAATATCAGTCCATGTCCAGTTTACTCGTACTTGCAATTCACAAATAGCCCAAGGTGTACTGGTTTTAATGTGCTTTAATGTTTGCTAAATGAATCTTGCTGCTCCATTTAGTGGGAGTCTAGTAAAGCTTTCATACAGACTGAACTATTGCTTAGGCTTCTCATAAAAGTACACTAAAAGAAGTGCAACAAATAGTTTTAAGAGTTAGGCTGAAAACTCCTATAAGTCAATTTGCTGCCTCTCCAATGCAGAAGTTTATCAGAAGGTGCAATACATTGACTATGAGCTGAAAAATATTTTTTCATGGAAAGCAGCATTTGCGTTTGCTTGTTTAAAACAGACATATTGTGAGAATAGTAAATATTTATTTATTTATTTATTTAGGGCATTTATAGGCCGTCCATCACTGTCGTCTCTGGGCGGCTTACAATTTCCCCTTAAGATCTTGGCACATCAGCTTAGACAACTATAAAACATTATTTCATGATTAAAGACAATAGTGACAAGATACTTATTCATCCTGAGGTCATAGATTTTTCAATTAAAAGTATTTGGGATTGGATAGGAGAGATTGTGAAATACAGCCTGGTTAAACTTCAAGTTAATCTTCCCTTCCAGATAGTTTACAAAGTTAGTTTTAATGGTGCCTTGAGGAAACTGAGGAAAGCAATAACTAACATGAAATGGGGAAATTACCTGATCCAATTCAGTCATATAAAACATTTCCCAGCTTTTAGGTCACAGGCTTTATCACTTATATAACCACATGTGAAGTGGATTCTCTTCACCTCCACTCAATGATGCCTCTATTACAGTTATTTCTAAACCCAAAGGAGACCACAGCTTCAGTGCTAATTATCAACCTTTTTCATCAGTGTTGACATCAAAATATCAACCACAAGCTTGGTTGACAGGCTACATCAGGTTATTGTGTTGAGTTAGTCCAACCAGATCAGGTAGGATACCTTACTCATAGAAACAGGGGCGAAGCTGATGATCTCAGATGGGTTGTGGTTCTGATTGCATTAAGTGAGGACTGAACAGACACAGCTGCTCTTATCTTTTTGGATATGGAGAAGGCCTTTGATAAAATTTATTGGAAAATCATGTTTGCCACACTGAAACATTTTGGTTTTCCTCCAGAATTACAGAAATTGGTTGAAATTTCATGGGAAATCCTTAGAGCCAGATTTAGGACCAACAGTGTTTTCTCTAAGTTTTTCTTACTTAAGAGAGGCATCAGACACTTTTGATTTTTGACCCAAGTTTGGAAACCCTGGCATATACTATTCAACAAAATCCTAATATTCATGCATTTGTGCATAATATTTTAGATTTTTTTAAAATACTGATGATATTGTATTGTTTATGTTGGAATTCCAGGCATCTGTTCCAGCTTTGATCCAGATTATTAATGATTTTAGATATTTATCTAGCTATTTTATTTACTGAACAAAGTTGGAACTGATGTCAATTGGAAATAAAATATCCCACAGAATGTTAGCAAACTGCCCATTTAGATGGTATGCTGATTTTATTACTTATTTAGGAATACTTGTCCCTAAAGTTATATCATAAGTGGTTAAGTTAAATTGAGCAAGTTGATTAATGAGGTCCCAAGGGATATTGCTAGAACGGTTAAAACTAAGTCTATGGAATACACATAAAACAAAAGGACTGTATCAATTGTTTTCTATGACATTCCTTCATTTATATCTGGCAAGTATTTTCAGAAGGTTAATGTACTGTTACATAAATTTTTATGGGGTTCCATTCCACCACCAATATCCTTCAAAAGGAAACAACTCTGGATCAAAGGAGATGCATTTAGCTTCCCTGACCTTTCCTCATAACGTTGGGCCTATCTTTTGATTCGTATTAAGATTTTGGCTTTTTGCACTTAAGATTGCAATGTCCTCCCTGGTCAGCTCTGAAATCTTCATGTTTCAGTGCGCTTCCCTGTAGTTCTCGCTATGCTAAAATAGGTAATATACTTCCTACAGCTAAGCAGTTAGAAAGATGTGGCACTTCTTCACATTTATTGTAGTTTTACTTATTTTCATATGCAAATTTAGCTTTATGGGGAAAACTGGATTTAAAGATCACAAGATCTTGCCTGGTGGATTTGGATAGGCTGATTTTCACCTTGGATCAGCTTGTTGCTTCTGATGCTAAGCTCCAGACATTTTTTGCTTTGTATGTTAATTATAATTTGCCAGTTACGGCTGCATGGAAATATATGCAACTGAAACATCTGTTAGAATTCAAACTTGATCCTTCTGCTTTTACCTTCAGAGCCTGCAATGCTATTGGAAATACTGAGGCAAAATGGCTAGAGCAGCTTACAGTTCAGTGTATAAATATGGGTTATTGGTGAATAAATGTGATACACTGGGCCTTAAAGCATGAACGGAATATGACCTGGAGCACCAGTTTTTCCTGAACCCATGCACTCTCAACCCCATTCCAAAATTGGATTTCCACTCTAGTAAGCAGGGGATTTGTCTGGTTTTCATTCTGCCATAAACAGACCATAACCCTTCTCATACAGCATCTTTCATTATGTCTTATTGCAACATCTGCTGCTAGCCATCCTTAAATCCCACAGACCAAGCATACTTCTCTCAAACATCACTGACAAACTATGACACTCATTTTAAGAAAATGCTTCAGAACTCCCTGCTCAGAACAGAAGGCTGATTTTAAAACCACAAATACTTTAGGCATGCCAAATCACACATATATAATAGGCAAACCCCACAAATAGGCAAGGAGGAGAAGACACTGCAAGATGTTAAACTATGGGTACCCCGCTCTTCTGCTAGCTACCCTTGCCTTCAAGTAAGGTGCATGGATGCAAACCTTTCAAATCTCCAGAAGAATGACTCAGAATTATGTCTTGGTATAATCGGTTTTACCTGCTCTCAGGAACACTGATGAAAAGCCATATTGCACATTTCTGGCAGGTATGCACTCTGTCTCCCAGCAAGTGTAGCTACCCCAAATGAGAACCTTTGCACCTCTATATATACAAGTGATTGAAAAGATGGGGAGTGGGGTGCAAAAAGAACCATTTCAAGGTGAAAGGAAGCTTTTGACAGCCAGCCTATAGAATCCCCCTTCCCCAAAAAGAAAAAAGACAGACAGACTGACTGACAAGCCATGGTGAGCCCTGTTTTGGCCCCTCTTGCCAAGTTCACTTGTATACTGATCCTGACAATCAATGACTTGTTGTAGGGTTTGTACGGACTGTGCCATCCAGGCTTGGATGACATGACAACCCACTGTGGATCAAACAAACCCTACAACAAGTCACTGATTGTCAGGATCACTTATAGTTCCCGAATAAGCCACCCTGGCAAAACCATCCTGGTTTCCCACAACACAACAATCCACTGTGCTTTGTAAACCACAGAGGGTTTAAAAGATTTCACACAAGTCTTGTCAACTGGAGTGAAACAGCACTGAACACAGGGGGACTTGCAAATAAAAAGCATTTCAGATTGTGCTTCCTCGCTCTCACAGGAAGTAGACAGTGGGGGCAAACCAGCACCAAAGCATACATGACAATGTTCCTCCAGTTAAAGAAGATACAGAAATGGTCCAGAGAGAGGGGTCCAACATTTCTTTCAGTACGTCTGTCTGCAAGGATGGAGGGTGAGGGGAGTTGTTTACCTACAGATGAACTTGCAGTCATTTGTGCTCCAGGCCCACATCTGAAGTGGTTCTGTCCAGCTTCAGGGATGCTTCAGGACCTCCAGTGGGAGAAGAAACAGGTGCCGTTGCCTGTAGCCCAATTGTTTCCTTCCAAGCAGGGTCTACTCGGGCCACTACTCCAAGTTCCCACTCCCCATGAGAGTTTTTTTCAATAGGTGCCCCAGTGAGGGCTGCATGGGTGCTCGAATGAGCTCTGCCAATCCTTCCGTGCTTGGAGATTATTCCCTACCTACCACCAGCAGTTTTCTACTGCCAAACAGCTTTGCCATTTCGGTAGAACACTGGGCTCTCCTTCACCAGAAGTATTTAAGCACAGGTCAGATGGCACCTGTCAGTAATGCTATAACTAAATGCTGCATTGATTTGGGGACTTATGCTAAATTAGAGGTGGGCAGAAAGTCCAGCTACAGATGTTTCTGCCATCAATGCCTAGCATTTGTGACCACTGCCCCTTCTGGAAGCTGAAGTCTAAAATATTTGGAGAGCTGCCATCTGTCTAACCTGATATGAATGATCACCAAAGTCCCTTCCAACCCCATGGGTTTACGTTTCCACAGCCACCTGCATGACTGAGCCCAAATGTGAAGGCAAGATTTCAGTGCATCATCAGACTAAGCAACATCAGCAGACCTGCATGAGAAAATATCTCAAATTCCTTCCAAGAAAGAACTGCCAGGGGCGTGTAGAAATCTTCCCCATGTTGCATCATCATTGCAGCTAGCAAAATTT